ACACCAGCACAAATATTTGTTGGATGAATGTCATAGCCATGCATTTTACCACAATCGATAGATGTATATATCTTAAGATCAACTTTTTGTAACAATTTTAGAATTGGTCCATTTGTCTAAAACAAGAACCGAAACTATAGAGCCTTACAAGCTGACAAAAAACAATAATTACCTCATTTCTCCCCCAACCTGATTAAAGAAAATCAAAAATTAATTCAACTTTAATTAAAATATTTTCTAAACCCGTATTTCGTTACTAACCAGATAGAGTTGCCGGTGTTCCAGTCGAGAAAGATGCATCACTTATGGGAAGTTTAACTTTCGACTCAAAAATTTTATTTACAATCGGCGATGAAAGTTTGACAAGCGCAATATCGTTGATGTATTTGTCTGATGGATTATACCTTTCATGCGGATAAACTACCTCGACATTAACAATATTCGAACTGTTTGGATCAAGATATGTTGATGCAAATTGTACGGTATATCCACTTGCTGAACTTTGCACACAATGTGCTGCCTAATTGATTGAGATCTTTTTTTTGAGAATGAAATTCAGAGAAATGATTACAATATCTTTACTGTTAAGAGCCAAGATTCATCGATGATTGAAGCACCACATGAATGTTGATTGTTTCTACGTAGCGAAACCTGGAAAATATTTCGTTGAGTTATTCTTGGAAATGTTGAATCTTTTTTCACTTTATTCGTCAAACCAAAAATGGAAATTCTTCAATTTTTGCATCCGTTCCGTTCACGACTCTAATTTGCGTAGTCCATTGCGCTCGGATTACTCCAATAATTCCGCAAACTATTAAAATTTTAACATTCATTTCAATTTTCACGTGCTCAAGTTTTTCCAACTGACTAATTGATTTAATTTATTTACTGCTGATTTTATAAATGTAAAAAAAAAACAATAGCCGATAATGCACACGAGTACTTTAGATAAGATTTAAGACGAGCAATTAAGTATATATCCACAATACTTCAATAAATTATATTTACATACTCTGCTTTATTTTTATTATCTTTACTCTAATCTCAATCTTGCATGTTGGTCGATCTTCTCTCTTAGAATTGAGTTATTTCTCAGAGAAGCATTAAGGTTATACATCATGATGTGCATTAAGATCAGAACGAAATGTTTTTAAAGCTTTCAGAAGTTGTGCTATATGATATGTAGAATTATCTTTCATAAATAATAAAATGAAAAACAATTTGTTCAAATTTCTCATCGTTATAATCATTATTATGATGCTCGGATATGTAGACAGCATCTTTGTGGTCAGGGAGGGATTAAAGGGGTCCGAAAAAGTCCTTTTAATGTCGATTTATGAATGTAAACCTGTTATTCAAGATAAATTCATGACCCCCCCCCCCCCCCCCCCTTTTTGGAGGTATCGAATAATTTCTGGCTAAGCCCCTGATAGACAAAAAATATGCAAGAGCTATTGCACATTTCTTCATAGAGTTATAAATTTCATTTTCGCTGGTAAGACTTAAATTGTCCGACATTTACAATTGGATATTCTAGGAATTCTCAATTTATATATCAAGATGAAATAAGTTAGACAATTTGATTGTGTGTGAATTACTTTATTCTAGTAAGTTTCAAATTGTTGGATTGTTCTTATGCTAAAATTTGAATCCAGCAACTTTAATTTTTGAATTTTAGATTTTCTTTAAAAAATGCGCTTAGCTTTAATAGTCAAAACATGACCGATTGTTTGAAAATGATGGAATTATGTGCTTTATCGCTTTCGCATTCTAAATGAGCGCAGAATTTTTTAAGAATATAAGAATAAAAATATGATGGTGAAGAGGGAGGAGGTTGGGAGTTTTATAATAAGATAAGTTGAAATACCTTCCAGTCACGCATCACGATTGGACTATTAAAATTCTTTTTCTGTTTTAAAAATGATGAATTTTTCTTTCATTCTTCTCTCATTCTCGTACCATTACAATTCGATTCCTTTGTTCTTGCTATTGAAGCTTCTTTAACTTTATAAAGCTTCTTATTGTAAGATGTAAAAGATATATATTTTCTTTTTGACGCAGGTGATGCACTATGCCCAAAAAATTGCTATTCTGTGAATTACTCGTTCGCATACTTATAATATTATGACCGTATCAGATTTGTTTCGTGCTACTCTTATTTATTATTGTGAGATATTTCTCCGAACGATTTTGACCCCATCACATCACTCGCATGATCATGAAATCATGAAAAATATATATAAATTCATGATGACGATGGATGATGATGATGTTGATGTATGATGTGTAGAAAAAAGAATTTAACATCATTAGCCTATCTTAGAGATTGAATCTCGAAGCACACAAGAGAGAAAAAAAATTGACATTGAAAATTTGTTTTCTTTAGTAAAAGAAGAAGGAAATATTATCAGACAAGCAGGCAGCTCTCCACTATTTTTTATGACTTCTCATTCCATCCCAAAGTCGATTCAATAGTGGAGATATACACAGAACGACGACAAATAAAAAAAAGTATTTTTATCTTTTTTTGTAGCTTTTTTTTAATTGTAAAAAGAAGAAGCATCTTGTGATATCAAAAAAGCAGCCCATGATAAAGAATTGAGAAAACGAAGGAGCCCATAAAAGTGTCTGCAAGATATGTTGCTTTCTCATTGTCTCAATTGCTTAGAAATTCCATTCAGATAATGAATAAATCATTTCCATTCTTCTTTCAGTTCTTTTTCTCTCATTTTTTTGTTTTGTCAAACATCATTGTATAATATTCTTCTTAGTTGTTCTTGTCCTAGTACAGATTTGGCATAAAACCTGCCACGAATGTCCATATTGTGTCTAAATGGATGTGATGCAGTAAAGTGAAATTAAGTATTCAGTACTGCACACCCACATGACAGTAACTCGTGTTAAAGAACATTTTTTACTTGTCATGTTTCTCTTTATTTCGAGGATCATCATCGAAAGCTATTAGTCACATGTATTGTATCATTTATTTGAGTCCATTTGTCGAATACTTCAAGAATTCTTTTTATTCATTCCATTTCTTCTTATTCCTTTTGTTCCTCTCAGTTCCTCTCGCTTAAAAGCATTTTATTTATTCTCAAATCTTATTTTCATTTTTGACGTGAGGCTTGCGCTTCGATATGACAGCAACCATGCTGTTTTCTATAAAGATGATCTTTATATTTGAATATAAATTGTTCATTGCCTCATGTTTCTCCTTATATAATACTTATCCTCATCTCATCTGGTAACTCATTCACTCACTCACTCACTGGATTATAAGAAGATTGACTTACTACGAAAAATCTCGATATCTACGTGTATATGTGAATATTTACAAACATCCAGCAAGCAAAAATGAAAATGAGAAGCACATTAGAAAGAAATAAAAATCGCTGTTAAAAAGAAGAGAAAGAGAACAATAAGATAATAAAAATTTCAATCTGGTAGTTTGTTTGATGTTTATTTTTATTTTGAACGGCTGCTGTTGTAGCTTTTTTTGCATATTGTTCTATATCGCTCGATCTTTTTTCCCACTCCTCATTTTCTACTACGAATTCTATGGAACTTATTGGATTATTTTTTCGGTCGCTTTTTCGATGATATCTGAATGTAAGGATTTCATAGAAGACAAATTTGTATACCTAGTTATAAATTAATTATAGTCTACCTTTTTAAGTATGACGAATTGTATTGTGAACCGCTCATGTTTCTTACACACATCAACACATCAATATGATAATTAGGCATAGTTTAAAAGTCCATTGTGTTACTTTTGAGGCTGTCTTGGACATGAATACTTTCATCTTGATGTCAAGTTTCGGCTTAATATTGAAAATTTTAACGGATAATTTTCAAAAAATAGCAATCCTCTTTGAAAAATTTGAACAAAATTGTAACGATTCTAAGCAAAAAGTCAGCAAACGAGAGAAGAATATCAAGAATGTGCCGAAATTGAGCTTAGATTCTTCTCAATATTATTATGTAACACAAACCAGCTTTATTCTGCACAATATTTAAGAAAGAGAGAGAATAGATAGACGTAGGATAGTTTTAGTTTTATAAGAATTTTGAGCACTCGCCGTCTGTCTAGTGTATTGGATTCCAAACAATAAAGATTTGTTGATGTTTCTTTTCTTCTTTTGATTCGCTTATTCGCTTTAGCCCGTTTTTTTCTCTCTTCTCCTCCACATCTTCTTCTTGTTATATCTTATAGTGTGTAGTTATTTCTTGATATTTTTTTTTCGATGGAAAAATAAAAATCTTTAATTCAGTATCAACATTGCATTACACCTGAACGGATCGTTTGAAAAAGGTACTCTCCGAATAAACAAAAAAAAAAGGGAATATAAAAGGAATAGAGAGTAAAAGGAAAAAGATAGAGACCTATCGCGATTTGGACATTTTAATTGGATTCTTAATAATGATTTAACAATTTGTGTTTCAAGCATGAAAGGTATTTGCTGAATATTTTTTTTTTTGTGTACTTTGTCGTCGTTACGGTTTAGTGAATTCTATTCTTGAGATATTTTATGTCAAAAAGGACAAGACATATAAAGTGAAATATTTCGATATAAACACACGTGAAAATATAAAGTGACTATAGCAATAGAAAAAGAAACACGAAAAGTATAAAGAATATCGATTTCGTTTTGGAATTTCTTAGGAATTTGATAGATAATTGAGTGATGTTTGTTTCATGTTTTTACTCTTTCTTCTTCTTCATTTTTTTTTCTTTTAAATCTAAATCGAATTTGTGAAAAATAAAATAAAAAATAAAAAAAGCAAACGAAAGAATATATAGAAAAAAACAACATAACACACAGCATAACTTGAAGGTCGACAAAAAAAATTCTTTCATTTTTCTCGTGAAGCGGTTGGAAATATTTATTTTTTTTTCATCATCATCATCATTATCATTATTCTTCAATCGTTTGAATTATTCAAATAAAAAGAACGGAAGACAATTTTTTCATTTCATTTGAAATTAAAGAAAATAAGTGTCACGATTTTGTAACAACTTTGTATCGCAGCAGGAATGAAAAGAAGGTAAATTGAAAAATTCTTTATGAAATAAATTAGAAATCGTTGTGAGAATAGTTCTCATGGACAGGAATGACAATTTTTATGGCACATTTGATATTTTAAAAATAAACTTTGATTGAAGATTTTTTTTTGAATTTTTTAAAATTTGAATATTTTGACAAACTGAACTGAGTGGAAATTGAATTTTTAAAAAATTCTTTAAGGGATCTCAGGCCCACCGAAAATTTTTGAAACCAAAAAAAGGCTTTTAGCTATTAATATACTAAAATTAATGAAGTCCAAAAAATTTTAAATTTTTCAATTCATTGAAATGCTTTAAAAAGTAAAATTATTAATATCTTATAAATAAGAAATTATCTGACGTACATGCCTTCAACTACTGCTGGCAAATAAAAGGAATTGTGTTTATCACAATTATTGAATTGTGTGAATCTATGTAATTTATTAATTTATTAAAACATCTCAAAGCTATTGAACTTTAAAAATTATATATTTCAAAGAAAATCCACACCTTAAGATGCAATAATATGTTACATGAATGTTGATTTGCTGTACTTGGATTAGTTACAGTGAAATCGAGATTTTTATGATTGTTTTCTTTTAAAATTATATTGTGAGGTAGTATTATGCAAAACTTTTAATTTATGAAGTTGATGAAGTTTTGTTTCAATTTCTTCTTCCTTTTTCGTACCAAACCTACAATATTGCCTTAAAGAAACAAATTGAAAGACACATTAGGATGGAAAATTATTTCTCTCATCATTAGCTAAATGTTATTAATGTATTCAAAATACACAAACCCATAAATATGAAAAGAAAATAAATAAACATTTCTAAATTTGCTGCTTCACCATTTTTTTATGTAATGATCATCATTATTCACACAATTTATGGTGACTCTGTGAATTTTTAATGTGAATTTCGATCACTCAATGGACACAAGACACATATAGAGAAATTGACTGAAAACATTTAAACATTTAACGATTTTCGTAATTTTGAAAATTCTGAACTGAAATGAACTTTGAACTACTGAACAGATTGATTTTCTAAATTTCAAATTAATTTAATTTAACGACTGCCACTAATAATGACTTGAAAGCATGCATAAAAGCCTTAAACCAATTCGATTGGAGATTTTTTAAAACTAAAGGATAAAACAGTTAACGATCCTGCAAAAGTAACATGCTTTTAAATTAATTTTAATGACCAGAAAAAGTCATTGTGTACCATAAAACCTCATTATGATTTTAATGCACACCTTTTAACCAGTGTTGCAAATGTAGATGTCTACACTAGATGAAGAATGTAGATTTTTCAATAGTTTTCGTCTAGCTAAGAAACTTTCTTCATAAAGATTGATTCTATATGAAGATAGAAAATCTAATCTACACAAAGATTATTTCTACATAAATATTCTGTCTACTTAAAGATTCGATGTAGATGTCTACAATTCTACATTTTTTCCAGGTCTACATCAGAGAAGAATGTAGAATTGTAGACATCTACATCGAATCTTTATGTAGACAGAATCTTTATGTAGAAATAATCTTTGTGTAGATTAGATTTTCTATCTTTACATAGAATCGATCTTTATGAATAAATTTCTGTCTCAGAATTTATCTGATCCAGACAAATCGCCAGAATGCAACACTGCTTTTAACTGATAAAAATCTCGCCAAAGTGTAAAAGTTTCCAATCCTGATCGAGTCTTTTACTTGTGAAAAAGCGATTATCGTTGTGATTATGATAATCGCAAAAATCTAAGAAATTCAGCAGCAAAAGAAGAAAATTCAGCGTTTATTATTGTCGTTAAACATTTTTTTGTGGCAAATTAATTTTTCATGCAATAAAAATAAAAATTAAGGAGAAAATGATGTGAAATTTTAGTGGGATTAGTGCTTGATGCGCATTTTGGATTGCAGGATTTTTGTCTAGAAAGTTGAAAATATTACTTTAAATTGTAACGAACTTTCAAGTTTTAAAAAGTTCTGAGATGAAGAAAGAGGATTGTAAAAATTCAAATATTAGAAAAACGTAAAAAATAAATATATTAAAGACAACCAGCACCTCAAAAAGAAAATAAAGTTTGCAAAAATATGCTAAAATGAAATAAAAAAAGTCACAAGAAACTAGCGATGATCATTAACGACAGTAGAAATTCGTAATAGCCTTACATGCTTGAGCGCTTTCAAAAATAAATTAAAATAGTGCCTTTTTGGTATGCTTTTGAATTCAAATTAACCCTTTAAATCGGTGACCCGACTTTTTAATTTGATTTTTTCTTTAAAAGAAAAACTAGGTAAATTAAACTTTTGTTGCTCTGAGAACTTTAAGATTGGACATAAAACGGAGATATGCGTGCTATGGAATTTTGAATAATTTTATTAGGAAAAAAAGAGACACCGCATTTAAATTATTCGTTGACAATAATAATGATCGTAGACGAAGAATAAGAAAAGAAATGAATAATAAAAAGTATTTTAATCAGCATAGTCTATATTCAGAATCGTTTGATTGGAAAAAAAAATTATTGAAATGTCCCGAATGCTTTTAAATTTATAAATAATTAACATAGTCGCATACATGCTACAGCACTAGCTCCTCTTAATATCGACTTAATTACAAGATTAAAATATTTATGTAATAAATTATATTAATTATGTGTATGGATGCAGTTTAAATATAATTAAGATAACATTTTGAGACGCAAAGCTGCTAATTTTACATAAGTGATCCTCAACTTAAGCCTTTAATTTACTTTTATTAAGCTGAATTTATTTGATAAGTGCTTTAATGTAGATCAAGTAACTCAATTCAGACTCTTGTGTCAATTGAAAAGTAATTAATGATAAAATGACTGTAATAAGAATTTAATTGAAGGCACGATCTCAGTTATTAGAAATAAAAGTTTATTAATTATTTAAACATGCAGCTCATTCGGATTTCAGTGCTGGCTGGTCATTAAAATACGTACCTAGAAAAGTTTGATCTTCAGATATATTCCTTCCAAAATTCCTGAATGACGTCATTTTAAAGCTATTTTCAATACTCATATAATAGAAATTTCAAGCATAGCTGCGTAATTAATATGTGAATATTAATCATCTGAAACAATGCCTTATTTTTTGTAAGATAAATATCTCAGCAATATAGCCATCTATTTTACCAACTATACATTTACTAGAGTATCAATAGGCAAGTCTATTGTTACACAAAATAACAAACGATTCATAGAAAATAATTGAGATATGTATGGATTTTTTAAATTTTTTACAGCATAAGAATCATAACTTACTGTTTGAATAAGAAAAAAAGGCTTTAACAATAAACTTATTAAGCATGATTGAACGAATTGAAAATTAATGATCATAATTTTATTGCAACAATGTAATCGATACACATATCTGTGGTGGGGCCATTTACTTATGATGTCTCATTAGGAGGTGGGTCTAAAACTTTTTTTGTGACATATCAAAAAAATAAAGAATTAGGAGGGGGGGGGGGGGGTGTCTTAAAATCCAATTTTTTGATACACGTCACTTGTAAACAACTGGATATGCTTCTTTGAATTTTCCTTTCTTTCTCCCAATCAATTTCTTTCAATTTTCGTTACATTCTCATCATCAACTGTTGATTTTTCTTAATCAATAATAAATGATTGTGTACGAAACGTGTGTACACGTAGCAAGAGGGCATACTGAAGTAGAAGAACAAAAGTTCATTATGTGAAACTTAATACATGTGTGTGCATTATATTTACTTCTCATTTTATTATTATTATTATTTTCTTAAAAAAGCAATTTAAAATCTTAATTAGAAATCTGAAGAGGGAGATGAAAATGGACAAAAGAGAGCAAGAAAGCAAGTGAAAAATGTTTAATGCAATAATAATATGAAGCAACAAGTGAAACTAAAACCTTTTCCATTCAACTCAGCTGATCTCTGATGATGAGCAGTAAATTGGATGTGCACTTTACTTGTTCTTATCATGATAAATTAAACGCTCGACAGCAGCATTCAGACGGCTTAAATTTACCGTAAAATGATTTTTCTTGTTATATGAATTTTATTGCATCATTAAGCTCAATACATTAAGTCTCATAATCGTATTTTTTTTGCTTGCTATATGCTACACATGATGAAGCTATAATGCTTTTTGTATCAAAACAATAATCTGGTTTTAAAAAGGAGTTTATTACAGCTTTATAAAAAAAAAAAAATCTATAATTTGTAGAACAATCAGCACAAAGCATATTAAGCCTGACAATGAAAATGCAATTTTCTTTGGCAAAATTCCAAACATAAAAGATTAGTAGTTTTAAGCATGTGGATGGCTTAAAACGCACTTTTGAACTTTCCATTAATAGATTCTTATTTGTAGCCAAAATGAACACTTAATGCAGTTGCTATGCAGTTAAATTAAACTTTAAATGACATTTCTGCATCATTAGATAGTAAAAAAAGGTTGTTTATAAGCTTTGAGCACAGATGTTTAAACGTAAACTTTATCTTCTTATTTCAAATGAATAATCATCTACTAGCTCATATCGAACTCATCGATAACTATTGTTTGTTTGGGGTAATAAAATGTTTATTGTGTGGCTGTGTTTGAGAATGTCGCAATAATATCTTTCATTGATGCGTATGTGCCACTTGTTAATCCTGCGAATGCGAATATCACTAACGCCAAGTCTTTCCACAAGTGCCAATGCATTGGACCATATTTGTCTGGATACATGACACAAATTTCCTGGAATCAAGACATTAAATTATTGATGGGAACCTATCATATATTGAGTATTAAAGCCATACCATGATAGCTGGAAAGGCCAATCCTAAAATGCTGAGACAAAATGCACCGAATAATGATATGAATAATCCGAGGTGAGGAACTGCAGCAGCTACTAGGAACGTAAATATTGTTGTGACAATTCTCAATCCTAGCAAATATCGTTCACTCTTTTCCGATTTCTTGATGTCATCGCTGAAATAATTCTCCCAAATTATCGATATCGGCACATAACATTGAAGCGCATATGATATGAAGATGGCAAAAGTAAATAAGCCTCTTGTTATTTCGGGCAACCTGCGATAATAATGACATAATAAAACGAAAGTAAATATTTGTGAGTTATCAAGTTGTTATTGCACAACGATTCTATATTTGTTTACGTACAGCTCTCCTTGTGGTAGGCTCAATGTTATGCTGTCTTTTGATTTATCTCCGTATTTAAGATACCCAAAGAATCCAACGAATCCGTATAGTAATGTTACAAGACTCATTCCCATATTGAGTACGCCGAACTTTGAAACTATAATGAAGGGAGGAAGAAGAAGAAAAAAAAAAAATGTCCTTAGTATGATTTCACGGAAGGACTTATTGCATCATTCTTATTATACGCTTGTGTTATGGTTTCGTTAATTGAGATTCAACAGTCATTTTTGATTTGAAAAATTAACGGCTATTGTAGAATTTGAAAATTTAACAATCAGTTTTCAAATTAATTTTGAAATAAACTAGTGTATCGGGTAGAAACCTAATGCGGATTATATTCACACCGTACTATCATAAGTCTTATGGATAGACCAAGATTTGCCCATCATAAGTATGAAGGTATGAAGCTTGATAAGTCAACTAAGCTTCGCTCAGCATAAGTTTGAAGTTATAAAGCTATCGCGTAAGCTGAGCTACGCTCAGCATAAGTTTGAAGATATAAAGCTATCGCGTAAGCTGAGCTACGCTCAGCATAAGTTTGAAGATATAAAGCTAGAGTGTCAGCTGAGCTACGCTCAGCATAAGTTTGAAGATATGAAGCTAGAGAGGCAGTGGAGCTTCGCTCAGCATAAGTTTGAAGATATAAAGCTATCGAGTCAGCTGAGCTACGCTCAGCATAAGTTTGAAGGTATAAAGCTTGACGAATATGCCAAATATTCTTTAAAAGTTTTTTAAAAAAAATTTTCATCCAAAGTTGAATTTTATGAAAATCACAGTCAACTTTTGTTTTAAAAAATTCGTAAGAAAGGAAAGTTTTTTGCCATTTCTGAAGCAACGGCTGTTCCTACCTTGCCCAAAAACAATACAGCTCTTCTATAGAGTAGCACGGATCAAATGTAAAAAACTAGAAGTCTCTACGATGTCTCGTTATTGAGATTTCTTGCTGATTAACTTGCTTGCTTGCTTGTTTGCTTACAGAAAGCGTATTTTGCGATTTTCTCAGCAATGCCACAACCAATTTGAAATCTGTTTTTTGAAAATGATGTAAAATTTCAGGCACAAACTTTTCTTCTTGCCCTTTTATAACCAATTTTGCTTTGTTTTCTCACAAAGTGCGAAAAACTGATTTTTCAATCTGAACAAAACCAATAGATTCACACGTGAAAACGGTGTGAATATAAAAATCTCATTGAAATCAATTACTAATGACCCTTTAAAAATATATATAATTGATTGAATCAATAGAAATGTCACACATACCGAAATTTTTTGGTTTCTCCATATTTGCTTCCAAGGCTATAAATACCCCTACTGCCTCTAATGCAAATAGCACAGTTCCAAAGTATAATGGATATGATTCAATTGGGCCTACAGCTGGTATAGTCGATAATTCTGGTAAATCTTGGAAAACGTAGTAAAGAACGAATCCTAAGCCAACGAATGTGACAACATTAGCTGAAAAAATAAGGAACAAAAGTTATTCTTCAAATATGAGAAAATTCAGCATAATTCATACCAAAAGTCGAGAATGGGGCAAGAACTTTGAGACTTTTAAGGCAATTGATAGCCAAAAGTGGCAGAAACATGATTAACATCACAGTTGTAATAGACATTTCAGTTATATGAGCTTCGATAATCTACGATTATAAGTGCAATTAAGATTAATTGAGATTAATTGCAGAATTTTTTGTTATGTCACTTACTTGCTGTACATTTTTGGCGACAAATACAATATAGCAAATGCATACACCAAGTTGATAAATAATTAAAAATCCGTCAGTGATTAAAACAGCACTTGGTGCTATCCATTTTAAAGCTCCCGGACCTTGTTGAAGAGCAAGCTTCATACTTTCTGGATATGATAAAATCGGTCTTCGATGTTTCTTGCATAGAACGTATTGCGATTTAACGAGAATTTGAAAGCAGTATGTGCAAACGAAACCGATGATTGCCATACTGACTAATCCATTGAGCCATCCTGCATTTTTAAATGCCTCGTGCATAGCCAAGATTCCGGTTCCTAAACATCCTTTCAATAAATGCGCGAGAGTCTCTGAATTCCTATTAAGAATACAAAAATAAAAGTAAGGAACAGTGAGAAGAGACATAGCATGTACAGATGTGATATTTGCCGACAGAGAGAAACGTAAAAAAAATATTTTTCTGTGACTGTCAACGTGTAAATTTACTCACGACGTTGGATTTGGTATATTACGATGTTTCTGTTGATTAGAAATAAAATAATATAAATTAATTCAGGATGTTTAGAAATGAAATAAGCGATAAGTCTTTACATATGGATCATAATCTTCATCCTGTTGCTCATCTTTTGTCTTTTTTGGCACTAATGCTATCGCATTTTCCGTATCCTCATCCCTAATTGATCATAATTAGCATTATTAAAAATTTACATCAACATTGATGCTTACCGAATTGGCTCATGTTTTTCTGCGTCATATACCATCCTGAATCGGCGAATTCTATAAATTTAATGCTTAAATTATTTTGACATGTACTTAAATTCGTTCCTGACAACTATTTACTTGTAATATTAAATGCACAATGAGATTTTTGCTGTAATGTTTATTAAAAATATTCCATGCAGCTTTTTTGATGTCTGTAGTATTCGATTTTTCGGCACAAACTACTCTCTCGATAAGAGGGAACTGAATAAAAAAAAACTTGTACAACAAATGTGTTCCGTCGTGAGTATTCTGTTTCTACTAACCCTCTTTTTTCGTACATAAAATATTCAATGGAAATTTCAGTGTGAGCATCACTAGCTTACTTTATTAGCATCAGAATGGCTGGCTGGATTTCTAACATGGATTTTATTACATCTCTTTAAAATTTATAATATTAAGTTCGTGCTATTTTATTAGGAACTATAAGACAGTTGACAGAATTCTTTAAGTTACACATGTGTTAACAGCCGACTAGAACTGCGTCATACACAACGTTGGAACTAATGATTTGCAATCGTATTTTATATATATTCTTCGGGCTTGCGTATTGAGATGTGCAGCTAAATAAATGAAAAAGAGAAGATTTGAGCATGTGACATGTGCTCTATAGTCTAAGAATGAGAAATATCTTCGTAATTTTAAAATTATTATTCACTGATTGTTTTTTAAAAAACATATTCTTCTATTGTCTATTGCAGTACAATAATATTTTCTTGTTTATTAAAGCAATACTTATCGTCAATTACTCACTTATTTTGTACTGACAATTTAGATTAATTTTTTAACGAATTTTTCATTTTTAAAAACTGTTGTAATGCTTTGACTTAATAATTTGAAAGGTTTTTAAACATTTTGAACATTATTTTTCCGTTAAAAATGTAAATTGCATAATAGCGAGTAGTAATTCTTAATTTATTTCACGCATTTCCTTATTATTTCAGTCTATTTAAAGTTTGAAATATGAATGGCGAAAGAAAACAAATCAGAGAGAATTTTTTGAGATGAAAATAAACTCAAAAAACAGCATTCAAATTCAAGATAATCTGTCTTTATACACTCTGATTTACAAGACTTTTTCTCATTTTTTTCTTCACTGCGTTGTGATCACTTAATTCAGTTGGTGAAGAAGAAACGTGCATGCATTGTTACTCAAGAATTCTAAATATTGAAATTTCAACACGTGATGTTTAAACATTTAGGTCTGTCCGCTATAAACATAAGTCAACTTGTTTAAATAACCCACAAACTGCAAAAAAATTGTCATTCTACGTCATATCTACTCGTCACTTTCAAATTGTTCATGAATTCCGATTAATAATATTTATGACTATCGTCATGGACGAAGGTCAGACACTAGAAAAATTTTATTGTTAATAATGCCGTCATAACAATTGTCAATTGAAAAAAATATTTATAGTTAAATTATCAGCACAATGCTTATCATTTATTCAAACATCTCGTGTCAATTCAACAAATTGAAGGAATTTTTAATGTAAATTGGATTGACAACTTAACAAGTTTATTAATAGAAAAATAGTAAATGAACAAGAATGGTGCTGCATCGTGCTTATCATTTGGTTCATATCGCATTGCTTGAAATATTTTAATAAAATATCATTACTGGAACCAGCATGCTGAGAATTTAGAGCGCATTTCATGAATTATATAGGCAGCATCCAAAGTGATCATCCACAATCCATGTCATGCACAGACTTTCCTACCGTCTTGATATCAATGAATAAATAAATAAATAAATAAATATTAAGAGTATGTCTGTCCTCTCTCCTACTGTCTGCCTTTCTACTTTACATTTCTGATATGATATCTATGAAAGCAGGCAACAAGCAGTAAAAAATGAATTCATAGTTAAGAAGTGACAGATGAATGTTGAACTGCATGTTTCATATTATCATGCATCATTTGAAGTCAATTTACATTTCAACCTTACTTTTTAATTTCCTACATTCCTTTAGATGTCTACAGATTGTCTTCATTTCAATGAAGTATCTGATAGATGGTTAAATATGAGGAATATAATTTCTAATTTAAATCATTTCATTAAATTAAAATGCAAAAAGGAAGCGAATATTCACACGCTAAATTTTCATTTATGAACTTCACAAGCAATATAAATTGAAATATTAAATGCTATGAATATTGTGCATGTTAGAATTAGAACTTTCTAGCGGTTATTGAAAATTCAAATTTTTAACGGTTTTCTAAAATTAAAAACTATTTTGTAAAATTTAAATGCAAAATTGTCGTTAAAAGTTTGAATACTGTCAAAAATTGGTTTTTGTCGATAACTAGCCCAAACTGTTCAAAGTTTAACCAAAACAATGCTGAATAAACTAGTCCAATTTTAAAACCCCATTTAAAGATCCCACACAATTTAGACTGATTGCTACCGAATAATCGTCATAATCTCTCACGAAATCATAAAAGTTTGGGTAAAAAAAAAGATTCATTGTGAAAATTATATGGTTGTGAAAGAGTTTAAAGCAGCTCTTTCTTCTTGCTTTTCTTCAGCAGAAAATTGTAATTAAGTGGTCTGTTTTGTATACATGCATAAAATCTGAAAACAAAAGAAAATAAGCGTAAGACAAGGAGCATAAATCCATTGATATCGTGTGGCGTTTTAATGTTTAAGGCACAAGAAGCTTCGAAAAAGCAAATGCAAAAAGATGTATGGGTATTAAAATTGATGATTCTGGTAATAATTTGCGAAGGTTTTTTTTTTCTCTTCATCCTTTTGATATTCGAGAGATGAGTAGTCGCTAATGATCATTTGAGTCATAATTTTAAAAAATTACATTAATCATGAGTTTAGAATTTATCTGTTACGAAAATATTTAAACAACTTTCAGTTTATAAAACAAAATTGTAGAAATTCAAATTTTACAAAACCGTTAAAGTTTTAAACTTGCAAAATCCGTTAAAGTTTCATAGCAACGTGTTCATTTAAAACTTGTAATCGTTCATCCATATTGACGAACTGCACATTTATTCCTCATCGTCTTATAAGGAATTAATTATATTCCACTCTAAAATAGAACATTTCATCAAGATTGTTTCACTGAATATAATTAATAAAATGACCTTACTGATTTGAAATTTTCTTTATACTTCTCGTTCACTTGCTGGCTGCTTAAGAAAAAAAAATTCTTTCTTTTTAAAGGATTGGCGTATAACTAAAGCAAAGCGTATAGGTATATAAGGAGTAGTCAAGTGACTACTAATCATGATTTTGTTGTTGTTGTTTATTATTACACAAGAATATTAGTTGTAGAATATTGAGGAACGAAAGAACGTTGAAATAACAGGAGGCAAAACATAGGAAAAGGAATTTCTTTTCTTATAAATCGAATAAAATTCCAATGGATGTAAAAAATAAGAATCATAAATTATGAACAATCGAGAGTGTTATTTAAAGGAGGAGATATTGTAATAATGATGCTCTCGTGGATGAAATTAATAGCTTGTAATTTTTTATGTTTTCTAAGAAACGAAATTCACTATCACTGTCTTCATCAAAAGAAATGTATGTTGCTTTTCTATTGAATTCTATGCTGACCTTACCGCAACTTTGTTATTCTATAACGTATTTTTTCTTTTTGAATTTTTATAAACTTAATTCAAAAATTTATAAGAACCGTTAAAATTCAAATCGTAAAAAGCCGTTAAACTTTATGTAACAATTTATCAGTAATTATAAGCTATTACAATTCCAGTCATTAATCACATTAGCTATAAAAGCCTTACTTACTATTTCGTTTTATAAATGTAGAAGAACTGGTAAAATTCTCGAGAAAACTTACTTCCTTGATCACGCTTTAAAGTCAACTATTAATTATCAATAAAATTCAAATTCACGAGCCTTAAACAATTTCTTCTTCTTATCTTTTATTTTCCATTAGCTCTAAACAACAATTCAACAAACAGAAATGAATATCAATTACGAACAGCATCAAGTCACGTTCATCATCGACAATCAATAATATTGCCAAATAATGCTGCGTATTTGAATAGCAATTCAATAAATTTTCTCAGTCGTGAACCACCACCACCATATAATCAAGCATCAGAATTAAGAAAAATTATTCCGCATAGAAGAAATCACCCTGCAGCTAGCGTGCGATCTCGCATAGAAGAATATAGACGTCGGCTTTCTGTTTCTGATAGTGATTCAGATGATCAGTTAAGACCGAGGTATAGGAATCCACCGAGAGTTAAAAATGAAATTCTTTTAGGTAAATGCTTCAGACAATTACATGTTATTGCAAGTTATTGCATTCTTGCGATTGAAAAGTTGTGCTTTACTCGACTTGCTTAATTGTTTCTAGAGAATTTGTTAAATTTTAACGAATTTTTTGAAATCCAAAATTCAGTAGAAATCATTCAGTAGTTCACAAGTTTCAATTTAGTTCAGTTCATTTTGAATTTCAGAGGTCTGTTAATTTTTTAAATTTTTAAAACCCGTTTATTTTTTTGATTAGATGAAGATCTGTTTTGTCCGGATCTGGTTCGAAATTGTAAATCATTGCCTGTTATTGATGATGAACAAGACTACATAGAGATCGACGAATTAACATCCAATTTATGTCTTCATAATGAAGTTGGATTGCCGAATGCAAAAGAGTCTACTAGTATAAATCATTCATTAAAGACAATGGGACAAAATGTAAGCTTAAAGAGACCAAAAATATCACTCACATGGGTATTAAGAGAGCAACAAGCTCAACAAGAAACACGAAATTCAATAAAATCATTTAATTGGAATGTAAAATCAAACGAAAAGGTTCTCTTTAAGAAGACTTCAAAGTCAAATGAGAAGCTGTTCAGTGAGAAATATGTGAGTGATAATAATTTGAATGATTTTCGTAACACGAAGAAACCGAATGAGGAAAAGAAGAAGGATGAGTCACGAAAGAGTGAGAAAATTAAACGATTTCACGAAACATGCTGTAAACAGCGCAATAGTCCTGACAGTAATTACGACCGTCTTACAGATTGTGCAAAAGTAAAGTCACTTAGTCAAGTTAATTTAACGGGAAAGGAATCGTCAATTTATGTCACGTCTGCACAAAGCGACAGTGGTGTAAATAGACGGTATAAGCGATATCGACGAAAAAGATCACCAAAATTTGGATACAACATCAACAATGTGAATGAATTTCTCTCAAAATGTTCATTAAGTAATCCAGCAAATATACCAGTTGTTCTTTCAAATGCAAGCATACTCTATCAAACTCGAACGGGACGTCAAGTTGAGACACCACTGCCTCTTGGGATGGTCGTTAATTCAATATTTAAAAATCAAAATTGGCTTTACGGTATATGCGTGTGCAGCATGTCTTTAATTAAATATTTTAATTACTTTTTTTATTAATCCAGTGCAAACACCTCACGCCGAAGAGGGCTACGTTAATTTTCATGCATGCTTACCGCTTGGAATTATTCAAAGGTAAGCTACCTACCTATATTGATTGTGCGATAACTTTAAACCGTTGGATTAAAAATTAATCCTAGGATTAGCAATAAATTAAATCTCGAAAACTTTCATAATATCCACAGACCACATTCAATGACAACAAACTGCTGGGAAACAAACACAGACGTTTTTCCAAATCCGTTAAGCGGGAATCTAACGGATTCCGAAAAAGAAGTGCAATTACATCGCAGTGGTGCTAGAAGTGAAGGACGTCAGACTCCAAAATTAAAGAGAAGAAATCCGTCGAGAACGTGCAGTGAAAAGTATTTGGATAGTTTATATCTACTCGCAAGTCAGCCAAAAATAATTGATCATGCTTATGCAGAACTAAAGCCAACGGCTCAAGTATCAAGGTGTAATCAAGAGAAACTGAATGTAAATATGAGTTCAAAGAGGAAAATTTTATTAGCAATTACAGCTGATTTTACGTCCGATTTGACAATAGTAAAGAAGGGTGATGTTGTAAGGTTGCTTGCATGTAAAGAATATGAAGATAAAATATGGTATTTCATTAAAAATAAAGATGGAAGTGAATGTTATATTCCAAGTTCGGTTGCAACTGAATTCTTGTAGGAACTGACTTTCTGTATCTTCTTACTTTTCATTTTTTTTTTAATTTTATTGTGTAACCAAAAATGAGAATAAAACTTTAATTATATTATCTGCATTAAGTCTTTTTATAAAAATTAAGTGTCGCATCTTTGTATGTTAAGTTTATAGAAACATCAATGTTATTACTTGCACCGCCTGCACTAAGAAACTTATATTGTTGGTTTTTGTACCAAACTACTGAGTATACTGCTGGACCCGAAGTCTCTATGTCCGAAATCATATTTCCATTTAATGAATACTGAATCATTTTATTGGATCCACCAGCCACAAGCAAGTTATCAAGATCCACAAAATCTGTCACGTGAATTGTACTTGGATAGTCAAAAACTTGAAATGGTTGCTTTGTAATTTGGTTGAGATGAAAAACAGCAAGTTTAGGACCGCCACCACATGATAGCCATGACTTGGAAATACTCGCACTCCCCATCCAATTACCAAACTGATTTCTGCTTATTTCTTTATTTTCTGAAGGTTTTATTGAGAATGTTGCCTTTTTTGTCCTACTATCCCATAGCTTTACAGTTCCGTCCGAAGAGGCAGTTACAAAATTTTGTTCACATCCTTGAATTGATTGAATAAAATCTTCATGCCCTTCAAATTTATTCAATACTGTTCCATTATCAAGGGAGCATTGAAAGATGTCAGATCCACATGCAGCATAAAGCAACTCTTTTTCACTGTCAACCCATAAATCGCTTACTTCACTTATATCAATCTTTTCAGGAGACAATTGTAGCTGTATATTCCACGATTTATGTTGTATTATTCCAGACGATGTTTTATAGCCTGTGATTAATCCATTCTTACTTCCAATAATCAGAAACTCTCGATGAACACTCATTGAAATTGGCGAATCTGGATATTTGAATACAGAAATTGGATCAGATATGTCCTCATTGTTCACATTCTCAATGCAGGATGTGATTTTCTCAATGCTGTAGATTAAAATTTATTTTAATGAAGATCCAGTGGATTTAAGAAAAATATTAATACTTACTTATAGCTTGCAATATCGCCAAAAGTGCTACAGGCATATAAGAATCGTCCACTACTGGATATAGCTTGGCTTGTGACGACTGTATAGAGCAGCTTTTGGATGTTTTCTTTCATGATTTAGTCTGTTTGATCGGTTGTTGCCGGTTTTATATTTAAAAATGAAATAAGCTCTTTTGAACGTGAAATTTTATATATCCTAGATATTGAAGTAATCAGGTATAACTTTTCGTAGTTCTTTTTCCAATAATATTACTAGAACCTGCTTAATTTTAATTAATTTATGGATTTAATATTCATACAAATTGTAAACAACTGGAAGGTTTTGAACTTTCCAGTGTAGACTTTCCAATGATTCCAGAAAATGTTAAGCATTCCAGAATCATTCAAAGTTTGTCGCTCGATTTTACTACATGCTGGGTACTTTTTCTTGTAGTATTAATTAATTTTTTTAAGTGACTTAAAATTTGTTTTATTTTTTTATTTAAATATTGTCAAATTATGGAATTAAGAAACGATGACTTCATTTCTGATCCTGTCGATCTCTTAAAAGTTTGCAGGTAATAAATAAAAGTAATGATTAATTAAATGTTAATTATTATTATTAATTAGAATGTGTCTGAAAAAAGAAAAGATATTAAAGTCAATGTTTCACTGCTCAGTTAATAACGTGCTTTATGCTGATATTTACGAATTGTGTACTGGCTTTAAAATTTTATCAGAAACGGTTTGCACCTCATCAATATGTACAAATTGTGAAACTGACTTGCTCTTTATCTACGAATTTAAGCAAAAGATCCAAGATAATGAAGAAAAATTGGAGAAATTAATTCACATGAAAATCCAAAATGATCATTCTAATGCTGAAATTGAGAATCAATTCTTAGGAATGGATGATAATTTTCTTGATTATCGTGTCGAATTGCTTGAGTATGACATGTATAAAACTTATAATGAATGTAAATTCAAGGCAATTAATGATTTAAGCTTTGTCAAATGTACAAAATGCACGGACGATGACTGTGAAACGGAAAAAGTAATTAATGCAATTAGTCTTAACGAATCATTTATCATCTTATGTGAGGAATGTGATACAGCTTTTTCCAATAAAGAAAATTTCCTTCAACATTACACGCAAGTACACAGAGGAACTGATAATATTATTTGCAATGATAAAAATCATAAATCTGATTCTCGCTCGAATGCCTTAAAAGAGTTTTATAATGTTGGCCAATTAATCAGGCATGAAATATGTTCCAAAAATATCAGCAATAAGATTTGGAAATGTTTAATGTGTAATATTCGATTTATTCGGAAAGAATCACTTAGAAAGCACTTAGAAACAGCCAATTGTGAATTTATTCAAGAAAAATGCTATAATGATAATTCAGCCAAAAAGGAAAAAGAAGAACAGCAACAAAAAATAAGTAGATCTATAAATAAATCACAAATGACTTCATGTAAAATGTGCGGTGCTCGATTTCGGCATCGATCAACAAAGATTGCTCACATGACAAGAGAACATAACGCTAAGAAAGCATTTGAATGCGATTATCCAGGTTGTGGATTCAAAACACTTAAAAAAGACAGATTTCAAGCACATGTTGATAAGCATGAAAATCCCGAAAAAACATTTAACTGTCCGATTTGTAATCAAGCTTTTAAATCATACAATTCCATGACTCTTCATAGAGCTAAGCATACTTCATTATCAACAACATTTATGTGCTCATTCTGCAATAAAACATTTCTAGATAGGCGTAATTATAAAATTCATTTACGTTTGCATACGAAAGAAAAGTTATTTCACTGTGACAAGTGCCAGAGAGGCTTTAATCGAAAAGAGCACTTAAAAAATCATCTAAACAGAAAGGGCCAATGTGATGTTTTTGCAGCAACAAGCAATTTAAGCTTCATTGCTTAATTTATTGGTATATTTGTTTGACGTTGTTATAATAAAAAGCTTTACATTTATAAAGAAATCAATTATCTATCGATAAAAACTTTTTTAAAATTATGAAGGCACTTGTGGCTTGAAGCGCATGAATTTTTAAGGTGACATTTCTAGACGATTTTTAAAAATTTCAACGACTTTTGATTATTCAAAATTTGGAACAGGATTTAAAAATCAAAATTTAAACTGAAATGACATGAACTTTTTAGACTACTGACCAAATTTTGGCTAATTCAAACAAAACGACGGTTAAATTGCACAAAGCTTTAGAAAGCATGCTGGTTTTGTGAATCAAATACCGAATAAAATTGATTACCAATCGAAAGGTGATTAGATTATAATTATTGGCAGGAGTAATAAAACTTCTTGATCCATTGAAATTGATAGCAACTTTAAAGCATTTAAAAAGAATGAGAAATTAATGAAATTTCTTTAGTTTGCGGACAAACCTAGACCAAAAATGATAAAAATCGTTTTTATCGTACTTTGTTTAATTTATTTCTCACTCGGTTGTAGAGTGATTGAGCAAAGAGCTAATGGAGTAACAACTGATCGTGATGACACTTCCTTCCTAGTTTTATTAGAAGGATTCATTACATATGATGAGAAAATTATGTGCAGTGGTGTCTTCATTTCTGAAAAATATATCCTAACAACTGGACATTGTGTTAATGGAACTTTATTCGTTAATGTCCATGTATATGCCCACAAATTAAGAGATGTTTATGAAGATAAACGTTCAATTTATAGAATTGAACCGGAAAATTTGAAAATCGGAAATGCACACTTAGCACTGATTAAAATGCCAGATTCCTTCGAATTCAAGACGTATTTAAAAATTGCAAAATTACCAACTGCTGATTTTGAAGTTGGAACTGAAGGAAAAACTTATGGATGGGGTCTTCTAGACTACACCGACGATCATGCAGCAGCACTTAAACAAGAATATTCTTTAAGATTCATTAATGAGACCGAATGTCATGAAGCATATCCCGACATACTTTGGAATAGTGCAACTTTTATGTGCATAAAAGCACTTTCAGGTACAAACTGCGTATCAGACAATGGATCACCATTTATGGTCAATGACATTGTTTATGGATTTCAATCTTATGGACAGTTAGAAGCTTGTGATGGAAATAAACCAAATTTGGTACAAAATGTATTCTTGCATATTGATTGGATTAAAGGAATTGCTGGTTTGCCTTAATTCTTGAAATTGGTTATTTTTTGTCTTGATTTAAATCAAATAAATTTTGAATAAATCAAATAAATTTTAAAATTTGAGTTTTTTTCGTACAAAATTTTAAACAAGTTGGGGGGGGGGGGTCTTAAAAGTCTAAGACAATGCCTCAAAGTAACGGCTATCAACCCATTTTGCTACGAAAACGTGCTAAACATTCACAGATTTTCTGTACAAACACGTTTCTACTTCTACTTATTTATTTTTTGATATGTACAGCACTTGACATTTGTGATTATTATGTCATAATACACAGTAAGTTTTATGACAGTTTTTTGATATTTTATCAGAACAGAATATCAATTTTTTATCGTCATTTATTTTTTATTTCCACCCATTTTCAAGTACAATGTAGGAAGTCGTTAAGAACTTCATTATCTGTTCAGAATGTTAATGCTTTATTTAAATTTGTCTATGAGATGATAATAAAGCTGTTTCAATTTTTTATCTCTATGAGTTTGTAGTCAGTCGTCATTCGAGTAGTAGTTAAGAAAACATTGGTGAATAATGAGTTCCGAACGAGTGAATTGGCTACTTGAGATTATCTGGTTTACATCAAAATCCATCAATATTATCATTTGGATCTCATTTTTCGTGATAATTCTTTATTACTCATTTCGTGCTGTTTACAATTTATTTGTCAAAGACGAGCAGACAAAAGTCAAGAAAGACTGAAAATTGTTAAGACATGATTAGATTAAGGTACTCAAAGACTTTTGGTGTTATCTGTTTGAGGCATGAGATTAAAAGTAATTAATAGTTCATTAAATTTCATCAGTTTGTGGATGGATATTGACTAAAAATGTTGAAAATCGTATTTCTCGTACTTTGTTTAATTTTTGTATCACGCGGATGTCGAGTGATTGAGCAAAGAGCTAATGGAGTTACTACAAAACGTGAAGATTCTTCTCACTTAGTATTATTGGAAGCATATATCGTTTACGAGAAGAACTACTTTTGTTCTGGCTCCTTAATATCACCTAAATTTGTTCTGACAAGTGCATACTGTCTTTTTGGAATCACCTTTGTTAATGTGCATGTCTATGCTAATAAATTGAGAGACGAGTTTGAGGAGAAGAGATCTATTTATAGAGTCAGCAATTCAGATTTCATGCTTGGACCACAATTTGATGGACTTCAACATTTGAATGATGTTGGCTTGATCAGAATGCCTGATTCCTTTACAGCCAAGACTTACATAGCATATGCTCAATTGCCTACTACTCCACTTGTTGTTGGAACTGAAATTAAAACTTATGGCTGGGGTCTACTCAAATTTGTTGATGATCATGCAGCATCATATAAGCAAGAACTTCCACTAAGAATCCTCAGTGAAGTTGAATGCGTAGAAGCATATCCAAACTTAAATTGGAGTCAAGGATATCAAGGACGGCTTTGTGTAAAAGCCATTTCAGGCACGAATTGTGTATCAGACTTTGGATCACCCTTTATCGTTAACAATGTCGTTTTTGGAATTCAATCTGCTGGACAATCAGAAGCATGTGATGGAAATCAACCAAATTTGATTCAAGACGTTTTCTATCATGCTGATTGGATTCAAGCACAAATCGAGTTGTAAATTTATTTTCAATCAATAAAATCATATAATTACTAAGTGTGAGAACAAGCTTTATTTCCTTATTTATTAATCTATGATACAAAGAAATCTACTTTTTTCGGCAGTAATGTAACTTTAATAGGTCGGACTTCGAATAAATTATGATCTATGGAAAAGAAGTTTTCCTTCTTTTCCTCAGAATTGTCTTCTTTTGGAATTAAGAGGACTTGTCTGGATTGTAAATTAGTCGAATTAGGAAGATCTAAAAACTTTTTATTATAAACGCGTTTCCATGATTCCCAAATATAAGAAGGTCCATAATTGTTAGGCTTATCGCCAATTTTTATCGTTAATTTTGGAGTTTCGTTCACTATACCTTCTTGACAATTTGTTGTTATTGCAAATTCTGATGTATTTATGTCAATTTCAGTTGTTTCAAGACAGTGTGGATTAAGAACTTTCGAATATTCAGGAACAACTTCTTTCGATGAATTGAACTTGGACCACCAACGAGAGTTGTGCAGCTTTTGTGATTTACTTTCAGGCTTTTCATAACAATTTGAGCAGCCAGAACATGGTGCTGAATAAATCATCTTAGCTTCACAGTTCCAGTTTACCCCATCTCTTGGAAAAACTCCGTTAAATAGACATGCTGTATAATTTCTTAAAGATCCAGTAAGCCAATATTTATCTTTTTTACGAAGAATATCATGAAATGAGCCCCAGAAAACAGATCCAACACCATAAAATACTTTCTTAGCTACTTCTTCATCGTCAGACACTAATTCAATCTTTATAACATCTTGTTTCTGTGTCTTTCCTTTAACAATTGCTAATGCTGCTTCTGCTTTTGCCTTTACAGCTTCAACTTTATTCCTCACATTTGTGTCTGAATTTAAGAACATATAACTAAACTGATTATTTAATCCGAGAGGAATGACTCCAATAATACAGTTTGCTGATATTTCATCGTTCCTTCTCAACAATCCAGTTAATGATTCAGAAATTGTTCCATCTCCTCCAGCTATGATAAAAGCATCATATTGTTCATTAATTTCCTCTCCCAAAAGACGTATAGCATGAAGATCCGATTCAGTTTTTACTATGTCTATAAAGTATCCAGCCATGTTCAAAATTGGAGCAACAAATTCATTAAAATCATCTTCAGCATTTCGTTTATTAGCTGCTGGATTTAAGATGATTAATACTTTTTTCAGCTTAGCATTAATCGGTGCCTTCATTTCTCCATATTTCTTTGCCTCAGTACAGTAATCTCTCATTACATTAGCGATTCTAGTAATTTTAAATGACTTAATAATTTTTTGAAGAATATAATATTGTGTGACTACTCACTGATATTTTTGGTGCATCCAGTTGAAACCGTATGACAAGACACCGCCGAAGAATATAGACTTTTTTGGATTTTTGCCTATCCATTTAACGAATCTTACAATTCTTGACATTTTTAAAAACGAACAGAGATTTTTTTTAAGGTATTGTTATTGTTTTGGTTCCAATGGTCGAATATTGGAAAGTTCAAAAATGCACTGGAAAGTTCAAAAATGATTGTTGGAAAATCGTATAGATCAATTTAGTTCAATCGTAAAAGTTCATAAAGTTTACGATTTGTAAAGAAACTAAATTAATTAAAATAACAGTTTAAAACGTTGAAATCTACAATAATTAATATATTTAAGCTTTCGTTAAGTCTCCTTCTATTGAAATTTAGTAAGATCTAATGACTTGCATATGAATGAACGAGATAATTTCATTTTAAAAGCAAAACGTATAAAATTAATCGAAGAGACTAAACTAAAAGAATCAAGCAGTATGGAAGTGAATAAAATGGATATAGATGATAGACGGAAGTCGAATTTTTCATCACTTGGACCATTATCTACATCGAATGGATCGATTTCGCGTGGAAATTCATCAAATAATGCTAAAGGAGACATCCGAAAGCTTGTAATTAAAAATTTTAAAAGTAAGTGCTCAAGCATGCATGCTTATTTATATCAAGTATTTAGATCATTATGTCAATGTTGAAATTTTTCTTACTACATAATGCTCATGTCTCTTTATATAGGCAAGCCTTCATTACCAGAAAATTATCAAGAACATACATGGCAAAAACTTAAGGAGGCAGTTGTTGCTATCCAGACAGCAACTCCAATTACTTATTGTTTGGAGGAATTATATCAAGCAGTCGAGAATATGTGTAGTCACAAAATGGACTCACAGCTTTATGTCAATTTGACTGGATTAGCTGAAAGTCATGTAAAAGCAAACATCAGACCATTTTTGGCTGAAAGAATAGATAAATTGGTAAGTAACAGCATTAGCTACAGTATTAATGATAATAATGAATGTATTTAAAATTACAGCTGTACCTAAAGAAGGTTAATGAATGCTGGCAGTTTCATTGCCAACAGATGATTATGATTCGTAGTATATTTTTATATTTAGATCGTACATATGTGTTGCAAAATCCAACAGTTCATTCAATTTGGTAATACAAAAATAATAATTAAGTTAATTTTAAACTCGGAACTTATCAATAATGATTCCCTATTAAAATAACGAATTTCAAAATTCCGAAACTTCATTTTCACGATTTTTTTCTTGGTATAATTTTCAAATTTTAAAAAACAGCTAGCTTCAAACATGATTTCAATTCCAAATTTTGGAAAAATAGGAAAACACAAACAGATTTTTCTACAAAACGATTGTAGAAAAGTACAATTAAAAGCTTAAAATGAAGAAAAACAATTTTTTTTGAAGACAACGGTTTTTTAAAAGTTTGAAAATTATATAAAGAATATAATATTGTAAAAATGAAGTTTCGTAATTTTAAAATTCGTTATTTTCATCAATAATATTTTAATTATATTATTTTAGGGATCTTGGTCTAGAATTATTTCGTGATCATATTGCTACAAACTCGACAGTTCAGTCGAGAACTGTTGAAGGGATTTTAATGCTTATTGAAAAGGAACGCAATGGTGAGACCGTCGATCGTACTTTATTGAAAAGTCTCTTGCGAATGTTCTCAGATCTTCAAATTTACAAAGAAGCATTTGAAAATAAGTTCTTGATAGCAACAAAGCAACTTTATCAAGCTGAAGGACAACGAAAAATGCAGGAACTTGATGTACCAGAATATCTTAAGCATGTTGATAAACGTTTGGTTGAAGAAAATGAGCGATTACTTCATTATTTAGATCAATGTACAAAACTACAGCTTATTTTTACTATTGAACGGCAGTTGATTGCAGAGCATATTACTGGTATTTTACAGAAAGGATTAGATCAATTATTGGAAGAAAATCGTGTTGCTGATCTCTCATTGCTTTATTCATTATTTAGTCGTGTTAAGAACGGAACGATTGAGCTGTGTGGGTCGTTTAATGCATTCATAAAAACAAAAGGCAAGACTTTAGTTATTGATCCAGAAAAGGATAAGACAATGGTACAAGATTTATTGGATTTTAAAGATAAAATGGATTATATTGTCTGTAACTGTTTTGAACGTAATGAAAAGTTCTCGCATAGCTTACGTGAAGCTTTCGAATACTTTATTAATCAACGTACGAACAAGCCTGCTGAATTGATTGCTAAATATGTCGATATGAAGTTACGTGCTGGAAATAAAGAAGCCACCGAGGAAGAATTGGAACAAATCCTCGATAAAATTATGGTGCTTTTCCGTTTCATTCATGGCAAGGATGTATTTGAGGCATTCTATAAGAAAGATTTAGCTAAAAGATTACTTGTCGGGAAATCAGCAAGTGTTGATGCTGAAAAGAGTATGTTGTCAAAGTTGAAGCAAGAATGTGGCGGTGGATTCACATCAAAACTTGAAGGAATGTTCAAGGATATGGAACTTAGTAAAGATATAAATATTGCATTCAGACAATATATTGAAGGAAATGCTAATTCAAAGGAGCTTGCACAATTTTATGCAATTGGAATTGATATGACTGTAAATATTTTGACAATGGGTTATTGGCCAACATATCCTGTAATGGAAGTTAATATGCCGCCTCAATTAGTTGAATATCAAAATGTTTTTACGAAATTCTATTTGGCAAAACACAGCGGACGTAAATTACAATGGCAACCTACTTTGGGACATTGTGTCTTAAAAGCACGTTTTGATCAGGGACCGAAAGATCTTCAAGTGTCTTTATTTCAATCATTAGTTCTTTTACTTTTTAATGACTGCAACGAAATGAGTCTTGAAGAAATATTACAGGCGACTAACATTGAAGTTAGTTTTGTAAGTCAAAAATACATTTTTTATTTAAACGATCTTTTCAAATTTGGATATTTTTTAACGAAACCATTATTACTTTTAAATTTTTAAAATCTGCTACATTTTTGAATCTTTAAAAACAGTTAAATATCATTATTATTTTGTAGGATGGAGAGTTGAGAAGAACTTTACAGTCTTTGGCTTGTGGTAAGGCTAGGGTCTTAACAAAAATCCCCAAAAGTCGTGAAGTTGAAGACAAAGATAAATTCAAATTCAACAATGAATTTACTGCTAAATTATTCAGAATCAAAATCAATTCCATCCAAATGAAAGAAACGGTACGTTTGCTTATTATCTGTCTATCTAATATTTATTGACTAAAATTGTTTTGCATATTCTAGAATGAGGAGCAGAAAGCAACAGAAGAAAGGGTTTACCAAGATCGTCAGTATCAAATCGATGCAGCTGTCGTCAGAATTATGAAGATGAGAAAGACGTTAAGCCATAACTTGCTTATTAGTGAACTCTACAAACAATTGTCGTTTCCAGTTAAGGTGAGTTTATATCTTTATCTTGTGGTTTCGAATTGAAATTTAATTGATCATCATTTCTAGCCTGCTGATTTGAAGAAGAGAATTGAATCGCTGATCGATCGTGATTACATGGAACGTGATAAGGATAATCAGAATCAATATAATTATGTCGCATAAAGAGTGGAACAGATTTTAATTTTGAGTGAATAAATAATAATATAAAAGATTGAAGTTTTTTGAATAAGAAAAAAATTATAAAAATAAATCCTCAATAATTACTGTTAATGTCGAAATGATAAGGAAAACTAGATGATATTGTAAAATGTAGATTTTCTTGTGTCTGTAATTGGAATTTCATAAAGAAACTCGTTATGGAATAATTAAAAAGGAACACAATTGTCTTTTTATTTCACTTTTGTCTAAATCTTCATGTTTGCCTGATGCTCATCAATTTCATTGATTAAATTATTTGCTAAATTTTGAGCTGAAATCTCTTTTCCTAAAAAGTTACTAACAAGCTGTCTAGAAGGAACTGCACCACCGTATAATAAACAATTATATCGATACTTTTCACCTTGTTCTCGATTTAACGGATCTTTTTGGAAATATTCTTGCCAAATCCATGATGCAATTGCTCGTGAACATAAATAAGAGTAGTATTTAGCACCGTATCCAACGAGGTGAGAAAATCTTAGTTGCCATGCTGTTTGAGGAACATAAGGAAGTCCATAATGTTGTTCTTGTACCATTTTTAATGTTTCTGTTGTATTTTGACGATGTGTTTCAGGTAACCCGTGATAAACTTGATCGAGTGCTGAATAAAAGACTTGAAGTTGTGTTTCACTTGCTGAAAATACATTTTTGGATGCACATAATCTTCTGAGCATTTCATCGGGCATTGGTTCTTGTGTTTGATAATGTCTAGCAAAAGTTTTTAAAACACGAGGATCACTTGCAAAATATTCCATTAAAACTGACGGCACTTCTGCAAAATCTGTACTACATCTAGTGCCTGTCACGTGCTGATATTCTGTCCTCGCTGTTAAATAATAACGGATTTTTCAAATTTTAATTTTTAACGAAACAGACTTTTAATTTACAGAGACATAAAATTTGAATTTATCGTGACAGTTATTTGATTTAAACTCACCAAGCATTGAATGCATAGCATGTCCGAGTTCATGAAAAAGATTGTCGACCATAGAAGGTGTTAAAAGTGGAGGATTCCATCTGCCAAGACTAAAATTAAGCATAACAACGACAATAGGATTCTGATATTCTCCATTTGCAAGCCTTTTCCCTCCTTGAATTGTAAAGTGGCAATCTTGATTTGGTTTTCCAGTTCTCTCAAAGAAATCACAGTAAATATGTCCAAGTAATGTGTTATTTTCATCAATTACACACAATTTATAGACATCATCAGCCCAACTTTCTCCTTTATCCATTTCAGTATTTTCAAGTCGTATACCAAAGAGAGATTTCATTAAATTATTAAAACCTTCCATGCATCCACCGAGACTGAAAAATGGCATAAATTCAGTAGCTTGCGATGAAATTTGTAAATATTTATTCTTCATTCTCGATGTAAAATATGGTGTATCCCAAGCACAAAGCGGTGAATTTAAGCCTCCATCAGATAACTTCATTTTCTGCATTATATCAAAATCTTTTTGTGCTCTTGGTCGTAGCTTCTCACTTAGAATTTCTAGAAATTCTTTTACATTCTCTGGCGTTTCCATAGTAGATGAATTAAGTGCTCGATGTGCATATGTTGGAAATCCACAAGTTGTAGCCAATTCATGTCTGCTATTAATTAAATCAGTCAAGAGCTCTTCTTGATGTGGATCTGGATATAAATAAAGTCTGTAAGCTGCTTCTCTTGCCAATGAGTTTGGAGAATCAGCATAAAGTCCCGAAACTAAGATTTTATCTCCATCTATTGAGAACAGATGTCTGATGTTTTCAGGAAGGATATTTTTATTAAGTGATCTAGCATTAACAGCACCACTCATGAATCGTTGACCAAGATATAAAATACACTCATTTAAATGTACAACTTTCTTCCGTTCCTCTTCCTCTAAATGTATACCACATTGCTCAAAATCAAATAAAAATAGCTTAGCAACGTGATTATCAATGTCTGTAGTCGAAAATTTATCTCCATGATCCACAACGCCTTTTAATGACTGAAAAAGTTCCCTGTGTGTATTTAATTTCTCAACAATTCCACTAATTGATATACAGGCATCTTCTGCAGCATGTGAATAATTAGCTTGTGGATGACTTAATCGTATGAATTCACTCAAATCTGCTACTTTACAAAGAGTATCGCTTAATTCATCGAAAATTTCCACAATCTTTCTGTCTCTCTTTTGAGATATAGCTTCTGCTATTAAATCATCTGTTCGTGAGATACAGCGTTCCTTTAATAAATAGAATCCTTCAAATCCCCTTAGTTCTGAGATCCCAAAAAGTCCCTAGGTAAATAAAAGCTCATGAATTAATTTCGAGATTCATTCATTTTATTGCCATACTTACAACTGGATTCTTTGAAAAGTGGATCTTCTTGCTTGGTCGGGTATTGAACTCGAGGAAAAATTTGCTAGTGGATACACATCTTGTTCCAAAATGCTTAATTGACTTAAAATTTAATAACTTTTGCATGGCAATATTTGTTTTTAAAACAAAAACATTCCAATTTCCAGTCAGTTCTTTCCAATAAATACTTCCATTGGAATGGTTCAAAATAGAATTGAAGTCCATTATAAAAATTTTTTTGAGTCAGATAACTAGCTTTGTCTTGCAAGTCTACAAATATTAGTTAAATTAAACGATTAGACTTTATATTAACTTCTAATTTCATACTCATTAGGTTTAAAGCCCATGTAATAAGCAAAAAAGTGTGTAAAATGGTGAGTATCATGCCAAAAATGTAAAAAAATCAGTCGACAACAAAAACAGGAAAAATATCTCATTAATAATGTATGATTATTAATCAACCATTGGCTAATTCTGTTCTGAATCTACCGTCACACAGACATGACGTCACCTTATGTCTAATAACTGTGATTCAATCGAAAAAGTATTCAATTGATTTTGAAAGAAAAAAATATCAAAATTTTGCAATCTCTCTTTTCAATTGTGTATCTAGCAAACTAGCTGCTCTTATTGTTACTTATTATGCATGCATAGTATGTGATTTAATTTGTGTGTAGAAATAGAGAGAAAGGGAAAATCGATCAATCAGTAATTTTTGTTTATCGCTGTCAGCTGTTCTCACCCATTTATTTCTTCTATCTTATCTGTTCCTTTATATCTAATTATGCTTGCTTAATCAACCTTTATTTCTCGATTTTTAGTCGATAGTCAATTCTTTTTTTGGATCTGAAAATCAGACGTTTTGCTCACAAATACCAAATAGCAATAAGACGGTAATATTAACCAGCATCTATGAGGGAATTCCACAAACTCTTATACTTAACGGTAAACATACATAGTCAACAGTCTTGTTTTTTGGAAGCTAATATTATTTATTTGCAGTTATTGTATGGATCATCCTCATACTTTTATTTACATTGTTAAGACAGCAAGCATGGGATTTTCATAGATTAGGCTTAGTGAATAGTCTGTCGGGAAAGAGATGGACTCAAATCTTTTATGCTCATGGCAACAATTCAGAAATACTAAATAGTTTAAATAGTAATGAAATGAACTCGAATCATGATTCAAATTTTGATATGGAGACTAATGAGCAAGCAACGATAAGAATATCAAGACAGCCATCAGTCAAAGACACTGGATTTTTTTCGTGGATTGTTGCAACATGGAAGCTTCGAAAGGATCAAATCCTAAAGCATTCCGGACCAGATGCTGTACATTATCTGTCATTTCAACAGCACTTGATTGTCGTTATGGGAATCATTTCATTTGTTTCAATTGTCATAATATTACCTATTAATTTTCAAGGTAATTTATCAGGAGATGTCAATTCCTTCTCACACACAACAATTGCTAATCTCGATCCAAACTCTAAACTTTTATGGGTTCATACGATTTTTGCAATACTTTTCGTACCACTTGTTGTATTGGTTATGAGACGATCAAGTGGGAGAAATGCTTTCAAAGTCGCACCAACACGAACAATTATGGCTGTTGGAATTTCAAAACCAGACTGCAACAGACAAATCATACAAAACTATTTGCAACAACTTTTTCCGGACATTGAAATTCGTGACATACAGCTTGCGTATAACGTAAAGAAATTGACAGAAGTAGCTCAAGAATATGAGAAAGTGATTGAGGCAAGGATTTATTGTGAGCAGCATCGAGGATCAATAAAAGTGAAACCTAATTGCATGACATGTAATACAGTTGAAGCACTTGAGTTTTATAAAGGAGAAGAGCAGAGATTGTGTGGGGAAGTTGCAAGACTTCGTGCTATTGCCTTAAATGATGCTTTAGGAATCGCTTTTATATCGGTATCATCAACGGGAGCTGCAAAGCAAGTTATTATTCATTTTAAACCGACGGCTGTTAAAGATTGGAAATTAAGCTACTCGCCATTGCCAAGTGATATATTTTGGGAGAATTTGACACCGAATACTGCAAAATGGTATTTGAGATGGTTCCTAGTAAATGCATTTCTATTCATTTTCCTGTTTCTGTTCACAACGCCAGCTTATCTTGTTGGAATATTAAGATCAATGGCATCAAAAAATGAAATAATTGATAATCTTACCTCACAGTCACCTTTAGTAACTGAATTTTTGCCTACATTATTACTTTGGAGTTTCACAGCAATAATGCCTTTAATTGTATCGTTTAGCGAAACATGGCTCAACCATTTTACACGTTCTGATTACAATTATGTGGTGATGACAAAAACTTTTGGATATTTATTATTCATGATTCTAATTCTGCCTAGTTTGGGTCTTGCATCGGCATCAGCTTTTCTCGAATGGAGCTTTACAGGAGCTAATAAGAATGAGACTTATCGATTTGAATGTGTCTTTTTGCCTGATCGAGGAGCTTTCTTTGTTAATTATATAATCACAATGACATTTATTGGAACGGCTCTAGAATTAATGAGATTTCCCGATTTAATTGTCTACATTTATCGATTGATGACATCAAGGAGTGAAGCTGAAACACCATTCATTAGGAAATCAATTATCATAGAGTTCCCCTTCGGTATACATTACTCTTGGCAACTATTAGTCTTTACAATGGCTGTATTTTATTCAGTTGCATGTCCTCTAATAACACCGTTTGCCCTTTTGTATCTTATAATGAAAAACTTTAATGACAAGCATAATCTTTATTTTGCGTACGGACCATCCCACATGATAAGCCAAGGTGGTGGAAAGATTCATTCGACTGCTGTGACAATGACAAAATTCTCTGTCGTCTTTCTGTTAATAGTATTAACTGGAATATCCTATTTTCGTGACGGTAATCAATGGACTTTAAGGACCATGTTTACGGGAATGTCTCTATTGATTTCATTGACACTTTTTGGATTCATGAGTCCAATTAAGAAATGCACGACAAAGCCATTGCCGATTATTGAGGATTACACTTTGCCTCAGCCTGGTAAGTTGATATTCTCATTGGAATTAAATTTTTTACTTCCATTGGATTAGTTTCAAATTGAATTGCGTGCCTTATCATTCTACAAAGAATTTTAATCTAAATTTTTGTTCTTATTATGTCTGTCTTTTAGTGTATATTGCTGACGTTTTTCTAAACAATCGAGTTATGGGAAACTCACCAAGTCATTTGAGTTATGGATCGTCGGACGTTACCGAGTCAGTTACAACTTCATCACCCCAAAGAGTTTAAATAGTGATTCTGTTCTTCATAAGCTATTGATATTTTTTTTTAGATAAATCATTGTGATTTTGTATTCCGCATCTTATCATTCTGTAAATTGATATTTTCATGTATTATTAAAGAATTTGTTTATTGTTATTATGATTATTAAAATATTATTTTTATTCCATTGTTCTAATCATATTTTTTTTACAATTAAACACAAATAATATATTTTCATCCCTAATTTGTAATTTTAAAGTTCTTAAAAATTGTATTGAATTTGTTTTAAAAAATAAAACACTTCAAAATTTCGATTGTTTTAATTCAAATGTTTTCATTGAAGAATTTTGCGATAAATAACGATTTTTTTTGAAATTTCAATTCAAATACTAGAAAGATTTCCATAATTTTATCAATCGTTATATAAAATTTTAAATACATTCTAGTAAAGTCAATTTATTTTAATGTTCAATAGTGAACATCCTTAAACATATTAAAAATTTTAACTACATCAAATAATCCTTTTACTTATTATCTGTTTCAATAATATCTAAGGCCTTAGTGCAATTCTATCAGTTAAATTACTTTACTTTAATATAACTTAATGTTAATTTTCTTCTTAAAACCATAATTTACGTGTAAAATTAAAATTATTAATGTACTTGACGTTTCTTTTGAAGGTTCCATCATAGAGTTAAATAAAATATTTGTTATATTTACAACAAAAAATAGAAATTTAAATTATATTATTTTTTTGATTACACGATCGAGGAAGAATTTTAGTTCAATTAAAAATAAAACAATATAATAACTGGGAATATAAATGAGTGAGCAATTTAGTAACAAGAATTATTCGAAAGGTTCGAAAATGGCACAAAATAAAGTATTTTTTTTTTTCATTTCATCTAAAATAACATTTAATGGCAATGAAGGCAAAGAGTCATAATCAACATCAATATCGGAAAGGATTATGTGGAATTACTTTTATCTTAGCTGTCAAAAGCTGCCTAATATTGAAGATTTATTGTTTTGAATTGGTTCCCAAAAGTTAAACGGTTTTTATTATTTCAAATTTTACCGGTTTTCAAAAATTCAAATGAACTGAACTAAAATGAACTTTATTTTGCTGAACAGCTGTGTACTTTTAAAATTTTCAAAAGAATTTAATCAGTTATAATTTTAAAATTGTTTTGAATTGGTTCCCAAAAGTTTAACGGCTTTTATTATTTCAAATTTTACCGCTTTTCAAAAATTCAAATGAACTGAACTAAAATAAACTTTATTTTGCTGAACAGCTTCTGTGTGCTTTTATTATATTCAAAAGAATTTAATCAGTTATAATTTTATTTATAGTTCCCAAAAGTTTAACGGCTTTTATTATTTCAAATTTTACCGCTTTTCAAAAATTCAAATGAACTGAACTAAAATAAACTTTATTTTGCTGAACAGCTTCTGTGTACTTTTATTATATTCAAAAGAATTTAATCAGTTATAATTTTAGAAATTGTTTTGAATTGGTTCCCAAAAGTTTAACGGCTTTTATTATTTCAAATTTTACCGGTTTTCAAAAATTCAAATGAACTGAACTAAAATGAACTTTATTTTGCTAAACAGCTGTGTACTTTTAATATTTTCAAAAGAATTTAATGAGTTATAGTTTTAGAAATTGTTTTGAATTGGTTCCCAAAAGTTTAACGGCTTTTATTATTTCAAATTTTAAAGGTTTTCAAAAATTCAAATCAACTGAACTAAAATGAACTTTATTTTGCTGAACAGCTGTGTACTTTTAAAATTTATTTCAAATTTTAAAGGTTTTAAAAAATTCAAATGAACTGAACTAAAATGAAGTTTATTTTGCTGAACAGCTGTAAACTTTTAAAATTTTCAAAAGAATTTAATCAGTTATAATTTTATAAAATGAGTTCCCTTAATTAATTTACAATTCCACATACAAGCATTCCGATTTCAAAATTGATTCCTTATCTCTGATAGAATGTCTGATAAATTCTATTATAAATTACGGCAATATCATTGTCAACATTTTTTTAAAAACATTGTTATTAGCACTTAGAAAAAGACACTTTTCAATTTTCAACAGTTTGGTGAATTTTCTCTTTAAGTTTCCACCAAAAGACACATTTTTAATTTTCCGAAAAAATGTAGGAAGCTGCACTTTTGGATCATTAATAAAATCATTGCACTAATTTAATAAAAAATGTTTAATTTAATTAAATGTAGGTAGTCAAAAAGAGTTTTTACGATTAAAAATATTCGATCTCTTAAAAAAATTTAAATCTCTTAATCTAAATATATGTAATGTAAATTAATGATGTATTTGATGTGACAAATGAATGATTAAATGAGCCAGTCAGATGTTTAATAAATTAATTATTTAAACACAAATCTCACCATTATACGTAAGTTTGACATTTTCGTCATTTGAAGCCATTTTGTACAGTGACTTCTTTATTCTTAATGCCGGTAATCGAACATTTGGATTGTGATGCCAGCATTCTTTCATGAGTTTTGACATTCCATTTAATAAAGGATCTGAAGTCCATCGGTTTGGAATGGATGGTCTAAAGCCTTCAACGCAAACGACTTTGCGCATTTCTTCGAATGATGGATCTGATGGAACAACGTCATAATACGGCACTTTATATTCTTCTGCGATGCCATTACTTAAAGTTCGTCTACACACTTCCCAATATACAAGGCCAAGTGCATAGATATCGCCTCGACGTAATGACTCAAAGCATTCCATATTAATACTAGAATATAATTTTATGCTTTTATTATTAATAATAATCAGTTTTTAAAAAAAGCTTTTTGCTCATTCTTACCTTTCATCCAAAACTTCCGGAGCCATATATCTCTTTGTACCAACTTTTGGATTATTTCCAATGTCAATCTTCCCGTCCTTTTGTGTGTGAGTAACTGCCAAGCCTATTAAAAATAAAGCAGTAAATTAAAAATAAATCCACAGTTTAATCCTTAAATTTAAAATTTGTGCAGCTTACCCATATCAGCAATGACGCATTGTCCATTCATTTTGACCAAGATGTTCTTTGATTTCAAATCACGATGAGCAATAGCCGGTTTTCCTTGTTTTCCGAAAATCTCTGTATGTAAATGAACTAAACCTGATGAAATGGATAAGCAGATCGTCATCATTTGGTGATGTGTTAATGCAGTTCTATTAAGATGGTCAAATAATGAACCGAGTTGATAATAATGCGTAATTAACCAAAGCTGTGTGCATGAATTTCTTGAAGTCATATCTGAACCAATATATCCAAGAATATTTTCGTGTCTTAATAAAACTGTTGAATAAATTTCAGTTTCTCGTTTCCATGATTCTTCATCACGACTGAAGAATATTTTTACTGCAACATTTTCACCATGCCAAATCGCTCGCCAAACTTCACCATATCTTCCTCTACCAATACATTCCGCTAATGTCACTTGTCGAGCTAAAGTCCTCTGAATTAGTAAAGGCAATCCACTTCCCGAACCCGATGTAATCGATTGATCGAAGTATTCCTGCAAAGAAATATAATATTTTTTAATGGCTTTTTAAATAACTCTGTAAGAGATTAAAATAAAAATGTACTTTTATGGACTTGATCATTAAAATTTTTAAGCTTTATGATTTTTTTGAGAGTTTAACGAACTTTTGAGAATCGAATTTAAACTGAACTGAAATGAATTTTTTAACGAACTTTTAAAAATCAAATTTTTGAACCAAAGAGAAACGAACTTTTTCGTTCAGTAATGATCCACAAGTGTGATTAATTAGGTACACAAGATACTAGTGAGCCAAAAAAACCCTTTTTTATTCTTCTAAGCTACTAGCTTATAACGAAAAAACAGGGTTACTCATTAAGTCAAAGAGAAATAAATAAAAATAAAGACTTACGCGAAGTGTGCTGTCTCCACAAGCATGTGATCGTTTCAGTAAATCATCACTCGCATAGTAAATATCGGCGTCTTTTGAATTTCGCGCATCAATTAGTCTACGTTTATGATTACGTCTCATACATAAAATGATTGCTATTGCGAATAACCCAACGATAAATACAGGTCCGAATATTGCTAAGCTTAATTTAAGCATATCGTCAGTTGAATTATCGGTTGTAACTTCAGTTTTAAATTGCGGTAATGATGGAAAGCTTCCATTATTGCAAAAATCTCCTGTACAGCACTCGATATTGTATGTTCCAAGTCCACTTAAGGCACTTGCATCACGTTTCTTCGGTCCAGCATTAATATCCTTTTGACTACAATATAATGGTAAGTGTTCAAATTTTGTAGTACATCCTCGCGAAACTCTCTCATTGCCACTACTATCTCTGACAGTCGATTTCCAGCAAGTTATAGCATTTTCGCAGACGTAATCTCCAAGCGATGTATTATTTTTGCATTCCGAACTCTCACATACATGGCATTTAAATCTGTTCATGAAGAAGTAAAGTGAGTTTTAATCATCAAGTAAGTCAAAATAAATAAAATGAAAATTGTAAATAAAAAATAAGCACAACAGATAAAGTAAATCCTTAATATTTGTGTTACCTCTTCTTTTTCATCTTCATTCTTCTCTTTGATTTGTTATGTCTCGTTCTTTTTACAATACATTTTTGTTAGCAATAGATAGCGTAATAGAGAGTGAAATTAGTTCTAATATATCTAATCTAATGGCATTTATTAAAACTATGACTATGTTAAGGAATTTCTAAGCACAAAAAAAAATTTAATAATATTATTCATATTTACCTTGGAGTTGCATCTATCGAATTTCTTATGACTATTTCCCCATTGTTATATTTGTGGTCTAAATGCTTAGCATCTAGCGATTCTTTTAAAAGAATTCCTGGATCATGTTCGATGCTAGCTGTAAATTATTCAATTATTCAGCATTAATCAGTTGCTTTATACTGGATCTTTTTTGTATAATCATAATGTATTAATATTATTGAAATAAAGTTGCAAATCACAGATTATGCGTTATCTGATTTTTATGAGATGAAAAAAAAAATAATAATAATCTTCGCAGTACACATATTGGCATTTTTTCACTATTTCTATGCCATAATCGATCAACGAGCAAGATATTTCAATAAACTGTGATTCTATTAATTAAATTAACAACTTTAAAGATCATAAAACACACACCTAAACAGAAATTAGCTAGAAAAACTGAAAATAAAAATTTTAAGAGAACCATTTTTAATTTTTATTCAACTAATCAGCAAAAAGTGCACTGTTATTGATTGATCACTATGTCCAGTTTTGAGTTGTTCTTCAACAACTTTATATGAGCTTATTATAAGTGGTTCTCGACGTGTTTTTAAGGATTTTGCTTAACGGAAATAAATAATTGAATTATTCACTAATACTATCATGCAAAACATCAAAAATTAAATTCTCAAAATTCTTAATTATTCAATCATTAATCCCAAGGTAAGCGCATTAATCACGAAAATAGGCAGTGACTGACTTACTCAACATATAAACAGTAGACCTAAACATGTAGATCAAACATTAATGCATAAATTTTTAATCAATTCATCATAATAAAGTATAAAGATCAGAAACTATCCTTTACCTGTTAATTGCTATCATGTCCTTAGCATAATTCATCTAAATTGAGGTAATAAAGTTGAGCACAGCTAACGACGAATTTGAATTTTGAAAACATTTGAAAGGTTTTTTTTGTGATAACAATTCTTTTAAACTTGCTGATTTTTTAACGTCTAGAATTATACCTAAATATAAGTAATAATAGTTTGAAATGGGTAAAATAATTAATTCAGTGATAAGATTAAATAACAGACAATATGGAAAATGTGAGTATTCAAGGATTTGCTTCATTATGTTTAAAAGTGTTCAAAAATAATCAAAATATTGAGACGTAAATTTCCCGCCTTGTTTTCTTCTTCCTCAGATTATGAGAATTCATACGATAATTCACTTTCTCGGCTAATGGTGAGGCCGTGGGATAATTGGAGAGGAATAAATGCATCAGGTGTTGGAGAACTTAATTCTGATCCACCAATTTTTGCTGCAAAATTCGCAACACTTGAAAATTATAATCATATACTAGCTATAGCTAATGAAGATGGAAGGATTGCCTTACAAAATACATTTGTTAAGAAAACTATTAATGAAGAACTATCGCTGGAAGGTGATCAATGTCATTTTAATGCAGTATTTGATATTGCATGGATGCCTCATCATTTAAAACTCATTTCTGCATCTGGAGATCATACAGCACGTCTTTGGGATGTAAGTACATCAAAACTGACAAGCATACGTGAATTCAATGGACATTCGAGATCAGTAAAGGTTGCGACATTTCCTAAAAACAATTGTAATATGTTTGCAACAGGCGGAAGAGATGGTAATATTATAATTTGGGATACACGGACAAATCATGAAGTTATACAGCATTCAACCACAAACATTGAGAATAGAATTCAAAATGCTCATTTTGGAAGTCATACAGGTCCAGCAACACCATCGAGTCGACGAAGAAATGCTAGAAATACAACTCCCAAACTCCCTACAAATGTCACAAATTCTAGTGTTACAGGACTCGTTTTTCAAGACGAAAATACACTCATCTCCTGCGGTCCTGGAGACGGATTCAGTAAGTAGCTTCATTACACAAAAATAATTAATTATAAATATTAATTGCCATTTTAATCAACAGTAAAAGCTTGGGATCTTCGACGATGCTATTCGACACTAAAAAAGGAACCAATTTCAAAATATAATCTTCCATACGCCGGCTCATCAACATTAAAAGGCTTTACAAATTTAATTGTGGATGACGACGGATCACGACTTTATGCTAGTTGCATGGACAGCAATATTTATTGTTATAACATCTCAACATTTTCAAAAGATCCATTTATGGTCTATACTGGAGCACAAATTAAATCATTTTATATCAAAACATGCTTGAGTCCTGACGGTGAATATTTATTAAGTGGAAGTAGTGACGAGAAGGCATACATTTGGAATGTTAAAAATCCAATTCCATTAGTGTCACTTGTTGGACATGCATTTGAAGTCACGAGTGTAGCATGGAGTCATCATCAAAATAATTTAGACGGTGGAAATATGTGCATAGTGACTTGTTCTGACGATGCATGCCATAAAGTATGGCGAATTGGACAAGAAGAACTACCAAAAGATGAAGAAGTTCTTCTGCGTGGAAATGCTGAATTAAATCCAGAATATTATTCATCCTATAAAGTCAAACAACCACTTCCAATAAAACAACAATTTAAATTGCTGGAATCAACACCAAGATCAATTAAAAGATTTATTGAACAAAGTGAAACGACTCCCACAACAATGAATAGCACAATTAAAGATAATTCCTCGGTTATATCGATTAATACAGGACGTAAAAGATCATTTCATGAGATTTGTGACCATGAAAGTGACAATCAAAAAAGTGATGTAAAACGACCTAATCTTGAGACTCGTGGTCGACGACTTTTTAGTCCAAATGACTGTTCTGCGACATATCATGAAAATGATTTAATAATTGATGGACCATCGAGATCACTTACAACAATTTTAGAGGAACTAGATTCTCCACAAAGTAAAAACTTCCAAAATCATTCTCCGTCACCAGTTAAGAGACAATTAAATATTCTATGCTCACCAGAACCTCTTCGTAAATTTGCATCTCCACTCAAAAAGGATCGTAGCTTAGCATTATTAAATTCACCAACTACAAATCTCCCAAACTATGTATTAGATCCACGTGAAGCACCTCATCTTACAAATTTAGCATCACCACAACGAAAAGTTAAGAAGGAAAATGTAGATTGGTTGACAAAAATGAGAAAACAGAAATTGTTATCATTAGGAAATGGACTCGAGAGGAGCTTATTAAGTCAGCAGTCGCAGTTGACGATAGAAAATCTTAGTGATAATGTTGATAAATTAAAGTCTATAGAGAACAAGTCTGATAATAATGATGGAAAGAGAGTTCAACAGAAGAAGAATGGCACATCAATTCTGAAATTCTTTTCAGTAAAGCCAACAACTAGTTCCTCATGAAATTGTGTAAGAGAAACTATTCATATCCATAAGAAAACAGAGAATGAAACGCTTTCATACATACTAATTTTAGGTAATAAACATTTTATTGAAAAAACTTCAATTTTTGAAAATCATTTCTTTTTAGCCGTTATTTTTCATATATTTTCAGCATATTATTCAAATAATTTTTGACCGTTACTTATTATTTAAATATTTTAAGGCACACACACACACTTCAGTTCTCCTTCTTTATGACTTGTCTGGCTAATCCTATTTCTTTGTAGATCTTGCGAATAATTCCAAAAAGTAGAATCAAGTGACAAGCATGAAGTAATATACTTGAAAAGTTTGTTGATGGATATTGGTTCCAACAGAATTCTATCGAGAATAAAATCAGTATCTTGAAGCTTGTGTGATATTCTGTGAACCATGATAAATAAGGCAGTGAATGGAAGTACCAAATGTAGAATTGATAATGTAGTGATCTCGAGCAGACAACACCAATGAAATTAATTAAAAATATTGGCAACAGAGCAAGTTGGACGCATTGATCAAAATGAATTTCAATTTTCTGTGGATCTTCTTCCTCTTTTGTTTGTGGCATTTGCTGCTTATCGCCAAATTGATTTTTCATTCCTTTTTCAAATGAGTCCATAAATTTCTTTTGTTCCGGTGTAATTTCCTCTTCGTCTGCCTTCTTTGTAGCCTTTCTCATCTTCTTCCTGACTAGATCTTCAATTTCTCTATTTTCAGCAGCAATTTGTGGCTCAAATTGAGCTTGTAACGTTCTTAATCTTGCATAATTTTTGAAAAATAAGTAGCAAGGCTTAGCAACGATAATTATTAGAATTATATGCAGAACCAACAGTCCAAGATGAAACATTCTATTCTCAAACATTTCTCTGTCTAAGAATCTATAGTTGACTGTCCATTTATGTTCAAAAATTCTTCCCAAATCGAAACTTCCTTTTATGTACTCAACTGGATATGTCATTAAAAATGGAGCACCAATAATTAATTGTACAGCTGCACAAATTGATAGCTGAATAATTGTGTTTATATAGCCCAAGGATGTTATATACAGCATCAAAATTGCCGGCGCAAAAAGTAATATATTCATCTTAATTCCAACGGCTAAACTGAACATAATACTTCCAACTGTCCATTTTCGGTCCATAAAGAGATTCAAGGCAATATAAAAGAACAAGATTGCTACCGGATCATTAAAAAGTCTCAGTGAATAAATCGAATGGACTCGATAAGATGTAAAGACACTAAGAATTATTACGTATGGTGGAATCTTCCTTGTCTTTGAGTAAAGTCTAAGAACCAGCCATAATTGTAGCAAATAGATCGCAATGAATATGTACTGAGCAAGTTTTACATTACTTCCACGAGACGTAACGAAATACAGTAATGAGTAGATGTAGAGGAAAAACGATGGATAGACAAGAGGCCCCGTGTCTCCTATAAATAGAATCACAGTCAGTAAAATCATTAGGGGTCATTTTGAATGAAAACTACAAACCTTTTAGCTGAGAATAATCCAGTGTTCCGTTAAGGAATCCTTCACATTCTTGCATATATGCTATCCAGTCTATTTCAGTGTATTTAACTTTTACAACTATTAATATATTTAATGCCAACTCGGCGAAAAGAATGAAATAAGTCAAGAAAGATAATTTGTCAGGTGAAAAGATCAGTGACTTGACAAAGTCAACTGTAAGATATTTCCTACAGAATTCTTGGATCTTGCCCTTCTTTTCCGCTTTCTTCTTTGTTGGTGCCATTTCTTATTTTGTGTCTTTTATTTTGTTCCTTAATTTTCTTTAGAATTCATTGGAATTGAAAATTTTGAACCATCTGGAACATTTTGAACTTCATTGGAAATTGCTCGATAGACTAAGTGTATCGGGTAGAAACCTAATGTGCATATATTCACACCGTACCATATAAAGTCTTGTTGAAAGAAAAAGCTTTACTGAGCATAGGTTTAAAAGTTTAAAGCATGATGGGTTTGCTGAGCTTTGATCATCATGTGATTGAATGTTAAAAGCTTGATGGGCTGTTTCTCGCTTATTCAAAAACAATACAATCAAATATGAATACGGTGTGAATATATAAAATATCAACAAAGTAAGCGATGAAAATGTGAATAGTAAATTTATATTAAATTTTTCAACTTGAGAACATTTTTTATTGGTGTAATAATGTCGGATGTTAGCTTCAGGTACGTAAAAACTTATTTAAAAAGAAAGCTGGAAAAATCACCGTTTCAATTTATCTAAAAATAAACTTCTGGAGATAATGGTTCAGGCATATAAAGAGTAAGTCATACAGAACAGTTGAAAACTTATTATTTTTATTTTGGGGCACAAGATGACTCAAATATAACATGATTTAACATGAGGTAATTTAAGATCTTGTTATACATTTCAAAAAATATCCTAGCAGAAATTTACCAGTAATTTCCTAGTAATTTACTGGATAACTTTCCATTTGCTACTTGCTATTTACCAAGGCGTGGAAACTTTGAGAATCTATCTGGGGGGCCGTTCACTTATTACGTTACGCAAAAAAACGACTTTTTTCACCCATCCCCCCTCCCCCCTTGTTACAATATGTTACAACTCACAACCCCCCCCCCCCTGAACGTTTATAATTTATTTTATTTTGATAAAAAGGTGGAAAATTTTAAAAATTGTTTTTGGTGTGAATTTGTAAACAAATTTTTTTCGTGAACTTTTTTTTGAAAGACAGACTACAGTTAGAACGTTACATATTTCTTGACACCCCCCCCCCTTATGTTACATTTTGTTACAATTTTTCAAAAATTAATATTATTAAAATATAACATAAATTGTTACAAAAAAGCAGTGTTGAAATCTGCCTATACTTCTGCAAAAAGACACTTTCTATATGAAGAATTTATCTTCTGCAGATTTCTGTCTGCATGTAGATTAAAAAAAGTATCTACATGAAGAATCTATCTTCCAAAGAATTCTGTCTTCCACAGATTTCTGTCTGCATGTAGATCAAAAAAAGTGTCTACATGCAGAATCTATCTTCCAAAAAATTCTGTCTTCCACAGATTTCTGTCTGCATGTAGATCAAAAAAAGTGTCTACATGCAGATTCTGTCTTCCAAAGATTTCTGTCTTCCACAGGGTTTGTCTGCATGCAGATTATTATATTTTGATATTTAATAAATATTTTTAAATCAAAAACACATAGAAAGATTTAGGATACAAAATAAAACAACGAAATTAATTTTGCAAATTAATGTGGATTCTTCTTCACTTCCTCTGACAAGTCTCTTTTATAAAAAAATGATCAAACATTTACGGGCTTTTAAAATTAATAAAAAGGGTTTTTTCATTTAGATTTTCTCGTTGTCAGAAAAATGCTTAATAATAGCATAAATACACTGAGTTACGCTTTTTATTAAGTATTCGATACGCCAATAAAACGATAGAACTGAGAAAACGTAGAAGGCTACGATGTCTGGTTGCTTCTATCTCAATCAATAAGCTACCTTTTTGAAATAAGTTTCAAAAATGCACTAAAAATGGATATTTTCAGTAACATACACACAATTTATCCACATTCACAAAATCACCATTCGCCACATTTGTCATCAGATTCATGAAAAGAAAAAAATATTTTGGATTAGTGTTTTATATTTGATTAAAATTAAGCTTCTCTGTCAGCCCAATTCGTACATTTTTACGAACTCTGTAAACCGTTACCTACAAATTGTAAGAAAATATTTGCATTTCGAGGTAATCGGGAAAATTTGAAAATGATTTGACCGTTAAAAGTACTTATTATTGTTAATTTATTGTAAAACCACACTTTTTCATTAAAATATAATAATCTGCATGCAGACAAACCCTGTGGAAGACAGAAATCTTTGGAAGACAGAATCTGCATGCAGACACTTTTTTTTAATCTACATGCAGACAGAACCCTGTGGAAGACAGAATTCTTTGGAAGATAGATTCTGCATGTAGACACTTTTTTTGATCTACATGCAGACAGAAATCTGTGGAAGACAGAATTCTTTGGAAGACAGATTCTGCATGTAGATACTTTTTTTAATCTACATGCAGACAGAAATCTGTAGAAGATAAATTCTTCATAAAGATAAAATCTTTTAAAGATTCTGTAGTCTTTGTCTATGGAAGACGTCTGTCATTTCAACACTGCAAAAAAGTGATCAAAACTTTGAAAATTTAAGAGAAATTTTATCGAAACGGTATGAAAATTGTCTCAAATGAAATCAAAATGTCAACAAAACAAAATTTAAGTTATGTTTAAATATATTAAATATTTAAATTATCGGTAACACCAGAAATGTTTGACTATGAAGACTTGAACTTTTCTTAAAGAACATCAAAATAATTTAAAATGGTTTTTAAATTCAAGACAAATGCATTTCGGTAAATAATGAGCATTTTTATCCATTAAAAAACTATTTTTTTTGGAAAATCTGTGATTTTGGGGCTTAGGCTCAATCAATTTTTTTTTAAGATTTACAACATTTTTGAAAAATTAGATTCAAAAGAAAAACATTTGAAACTTAAATTTATTTTAATCCAATGTCTGTAAACAGAATTAATATCAGTTGGCTTTCGAAAATTTTGAAAAAATTCGTAAATGATCAATTTTAAAAAACAAATATACGTTAGTAATTTTGTCATATTTGAAAATTAAAAATACGTTAGTAATTTTGGAAATCATTAAAATATTTATTTACTTTAAAATTTAATTATTTTTTGAGGCAAATTCATTTCTTTTATGCATAAAGCGACCCTGATACTGTAACTTCTTCCTGAATTCAACAAATGCTTTAATAAGCTTATCGATAGTTTCCTTGAAATAACATTTTTTGTATATACTTACAAGAGATGGAAATGCATCCGCATTTAATCGTACTCTCTTTGCATTCCTATTTACCATAGAGTGACAAAAATGAAGAACGCACAAAAAATACTTTTTTGACTGAATATATTGAATTTCATGATATTTTAAATAGTCGATCCATTTTCCTCGATGTATCGAACTCTCTGGAAGTTCAAATATGGGGATGTTGCTATTTCCTCTTCCTTTACAGCTTTGAATTGCACAAATTTTAACCATTTTAAAAAATTTCGAATTTTTGAATTGAAAATGTAAACAAATTTTCATAACGAACATTTTGAATTCAAATTTTTTTCCCGCGTTCGAAAAATAAGATCCTTCGAAATCGAAAAATAAGATCTTGTTTACAGACATTGGATTTTAATATAACCAAAGGTCGAACAAATTGAGCTTTAAATCTGAGCTACGAACACAATTGATTAGAAGCTTTATTAATTATAAGGTAATAACATTCACTTGAAGTTTCTTCGATCTAAACCAGCTTCAAAAAAATTAAAATTAAAATTGAAAAAAAAATTGAACCCATGAAAATAAAAATTTTGCTTGTAAAATGAAATCAGGATTTTCAATCCCGGAATTACGGGATTACGGGGTTAAAAATTTCTAATCTGGACAATAAGGAAAAAGTTGACAATAAGACTTTAAAGCTTATTAAAGTTTTAAAGTTTAAATTGAAATTTTTTTTTATATAAAAAGACTTTTTGATAAACAAAACATTTTATTTCTGATTTGAATTTAACTGAATGTATTCAATTTTAAAGTTCATCAGATTGTAAGTTTATAAAATTAAGATTAAGGTAATCGAAAATTTCAGTTTTAGAATATTTAAGTCGAGTCCGAGTCGACTCGACTCCATTCAAAATTTCATTGACTTCGAGCTCTGTTAAATTCAACACAAAATACAATTTTTTTTAATATTCTTACTCAACCTTAATTATTTGCCTGATTGATAAATTATTAAGTTTAACTGCACCAAAAATAACCTTAATTTATGAATTATAAATGTTAATAAGTTATTTAAATTAAATAGAAATTAAAGTACCATAAAAACTTGTTCACACGAAATGACCAGAAATTAGTCGACATGAGTTGATTCGACTCCATACAATATATTTGAAGTAAATTTAAAAGTTTTCAATACAAATTTTTTTCCTTTTGAATCAAAATATTTCATTTTGTTTAAAAATTATAAATTGCAAGTAGGGATAGACTGATTTTATCCTTTTAAATTTCTGTCATATTAACCACTAGCAGTTAAGAGCCCACAACTGGTCCAGTTTTGTGTTAATATGCACGTTACAATTCGGTACCATGTGCACCAGTCAAAAACATTCAATAGCACCTACCTCCTATGCAAAGCCAGTAATGTGCAACTTTCAAAACCCTTTAATTTATTAACCGGCACTGCCGATGTTTGTTCGCCCTTAAATAAGTAAACTTCTATTGTTAAATATAGCTAGGTCATGTTTGGAACCAAAACCAAAGATCCAGTAACATAACAGTCATACTTGGAACCAAAAACTAAGATCCAAGATTATATAAGTCATATTTAGAACCAAAACCATAGATCCAGTGGGTAATTGGTCATGTTTGGAATCAAAAACTAACATCCAGTATCATATAAGTTACGTTTGAAACAAAAAAAAAAAAAATTGAAAAAAAAAATATTTTTCGTGGGATAATATGGTATACTAGTCAGTTCGCTTCCAATTTAACTAGTAATTTACCAGCAAATTTTTAAAAAATTTAAATGCATATAACCGTTGATTTCCACGTGTTTTTTTGATTTTTCTTATTTGTGTAAATTATTGTAAAAGTATTAGTGTGTACTTATTTAAAGATATATAAAGTACACTAACACTATGAAAAAAATAAAAGACTTAATTTAATTAAGTCGAAAACTGATGAAAGCCCATGACTCGCACGCAAACCTGAGGAAGATAAATAATTAATTGAAAGTCACATACAAATTTGGATCGGACCTTATAAAGGTGATTTCTGCGCGCTCATGTGAAGTATATGGCAAAATGCCAAATTAAGAACAAAATTTTTTATGACGCAAAAAATTCTTTTTTGATGATTTTTCGTAGGATTCGAACTTAAGAAGATTTGATCAAACATTTTACATGGTAATTTCCTAGTAATTTGCTAGTAAATAGCAAGTGGGCTTGGTCGTTTGTTGAATAAGTGTCAGAAATCAAAAAAATGTTTACGTTTTTCTCTTTTCCTGGATATCTACGTAATTATCTCAATAATTAGTGTTATTAGTGTCATTATGAGTACCTTTAATTTAAAATAAACTTAAAGGAACAACGCATCAAACACGCAGGAATTAGCAAGTATTAAGTTAAAAACGAATATCAACATCCAGGAAATAAACTGTATCTTTTGTTTTTCTGAAGAAAAAATTCATTTAAAAAGAAGAAAATTTTCATACAAAATTATTCATCAAATATTTATGACGTCACAAAAATAAAAATTGATAATTTCCAAAATTGCAATTTTGGAAAATAAACAATTTCCAAAATTGCAATTTTCTGAAATTGACAAAATTGCAAAATTGCTTTGATCAAAATTGGCAATTTTCATAATTTTCATTTTGATTTATTTTCAAAATAGAGCAATTTTCATTTTATTTTCAAACTCTGATTACAATGCTCAAAAGAAAACATTGATATTAATTTAAATGATATTTTGCAAAATAATTTTTCATTTTATTGAAGGGGAAAGTAACAAAAATTGAATTTCAAAAAACCCGTTGAAATTCAATGGAACTTTTTATTCGACCGAGCCCAAGTGTAATTTATTAACAGTAAATTGTAGAATAGAAGTTGTAGAATAGAAAGACTAGCAATTTGCTAGTTAGTCTCGCTAGGGATATCTTATCAATTTTGTTGTATCTATTTGTATCATGTGCGGACCATAAATCAATTAAAGGTTCCTTATATAAATATCACTTATGTCATAATTATTGATAAAATCCCTGACAAACAAAGAGCATGTGTACTTTAAGGACAGACTAAGGGCATCAAAAGTTCATGATCAAACACAAATTTTCACTCATTCATGTAGTCAAAATCAATTAGTAAGGAACTGTCAAATTCTAGCCAATTTATGGGGTAATAAAAATTGAAATGCAAAACTGAGTGTAGATAAGCAACAAATAAGTAAAAATCTCACCCATGAGAATTATGGTGAAAAAATTAATGTCATGCTGCGTGTTGAATATGTTCCTTAGTTCCAGCAGATATCAAGTTTTTTTTTTCACTGCGCATAGCAAATTCGTTGTGGTGGAAAAAAAAGTTGGTGGAACAAAATTGATTGGTAAAAGTACAGAACATTTTTTGAAAGTTAACTAGCAAGGAACAGTCTTGAAAAGTACAAAATCTTGTGTCTAATAGTACAAAGAAGTAGAATCAGTTGAAGATTTAGATCAAACTTGACATTAGATTAAAGTTTGCAAAATTATTGATTTTAGAAAATGACATTGAAAGGAACAAGTCTTTAAAGCTCATGAAAAGTGCGTAAATTAAAAGACATTTAATAATATATACCTGAAAAAAAAGACTGACAAGAGTACAAAAAAAAGCTTAATTAAAGAATAATTTTAAAGAAAATTAAGCATCATTGATTACTTTTCATCAAAAAGGGCAAGCTAGCAAAAAAAAGGTTCGACATCAACACAATCAAAAAAGTGAAAGAACTGCTTATATACACGAGAGCCATATGATTATTCCGGCTAATGAAATTTGTATTAGTGTTGCTTTATATACAGCTGTATAAAAATTTTCGAGTGTCTCTCAGCTCGAAACAATCGTGACTCGCTCTCTTCGATTTCACTTCTCATCTTTTTATTCAGTAAGTCATTCGCTGTTTAGCTGTTGAATAAGAAACAGTGAAATTAAAAAAAGAAGCAAGTTGTGACAGTAAAAATAAAATATCTTTAGATATAAAAATAAGAACTTATGGTGCTGTGAATGCTTCATTACTATTATGTTTAAAAAGAAGTTTAAAAAAGAAACGTAAAAAAAAATTTTTTGAGCAAAGAAAAAGTTAAATATATTATTACTTAGTGTAACAAATAAATCCTATTCTTGTGCCGGTGAAGAGAATATTCAAAAAAAAAAAAGAAATTTCTCGTTCATCGTGAAACTCGAAGTAAGTTGATTTTCATCCGTAATGTGATTTCTGATGGAAAATTGAATTTTTCCATACGAAAGCTAGCTTTTGTGAAATTGAAAATGAAATAAGGCGACAAAATTTTTATATCCAATGATGATGATGATGAGAAAAAGCTATAAAATATTCTTAATTTAATTTTGAGATAAATTTTTTACATCCTAAAATTTTCATTTACCCAAAATAAAAAAGATACTCGTTGATGAAAACATCCATATCCATTTATTAAATTTTTTTCACCTAATTTACTTCTCATACCCAATTCTGTAACACATGTGAGCACATACAAAAAATTGTTTATTACCGGCATATACATATTTTAACTTACTCACTCTCTCACGACTCTCCAAAAAAAAAAATCAAAAACCTAAAGTTGTTGTCAAGTGTGCGGCTGTGTGAATGTGTTTTCGCGCTGTAAATTTAACTTAGCTCTACGAATTATGGATGTATGATGATCAGCAATTTTACGGTTTTTGATAGCTTTAACTTCTTTTGTGTACAACAAACCGGATGACATTGAAAATGTACATTAGTAAATGAAAAATTTTCCACTGATCAATGTCTTTAAAAAAATACAAAAATTGCGTAACTTTGAAGATATATCTTCTCTTTCTCTCTTCGCGCACACATGTTTGCATAAATCGTTAGAACCATTTATCAAATTTCTTTAAGCGCGACTTTTTTTGTTCAAATAAAATAAGAAGAACATATTTGTTTTTCTTTTTTTCGTGCATTTCTGCTAATTCATGGCTGCTTGTTGCTCATTTTGGCTAGATCATTGGCATGTTGTTCTAAAAAACATTTTTTTTTTATTTTTTGCATATAATTCGTTTAGTAGTTCAAACTTCAACTTTAAATATTTAAATTACTTTTTATCTTATCTTAAAAAAATTACAAACTAGTTTTCCTAATTGATCGTACCGATAAGAATGCGTTTCATCCATCCGCATGTAAACACATCTTACCATATTCATTCTGTGTAAACAGAAGAGAAACTCCACAACAGTTACTTAACCGAGTAAAGAAAAAGAAAAATAACATGTGTGAATACACTTAGTTTCTAGGAAAATAATGTGCTTTTAACAAGAAAAGATGCGTCGTCTCGATTAATGACAACACTCGTTGACATATAAAAAAAATATTATTCACTGATAAGAATGGGAAAGAAAAGAAACGATAAGTTATCAGACATAGACTATGATTATATTTACAAACTATTTTTATCACGTTTCTAATTACTTTTGAACAAACCTGTACATGTAAATGATTATGAAACAGCTTTCGTCTTTGCACAAACAAGAAAGAAAAAAAAAATAGAAAATTGTTTATTTTGTTCTTATCATCTCCTATTCATTGGAGGCAGTCTCAAGGCTGACTCAATCTTCATTTAGAATTTTTTCAAAATTCCAAATTTGTAAGCTTTTTGTGTGATGTTTAGTTATCACACCCGAGATTTAATAAATTTTTTATAAAAGAATGAGTAAGCGTAGGACGAACTAAAGATTATTAAGATTATGATGATTCTTCGATTCTCGTTCTTCCCTGTTTCTTTATTTATATTTTTATTTCTGTTGGATGTTGACAAAAAACTAATGTTTGCTGGTAGCATCTGAATATGTTGATGTCTAATTTGCACTAGTTGACATTTCAAAACGTGACTAGCGATCAGCTCATAGATAAATGTGCATTTAAATATGTCCTCAAAATTTTTCAAAATTTAATACTCATTTGGTGCTTCCTCGTGAATTTGTTTTTGCTTGTTATTCACATTTTGAGCTCAAAAATCATTTGATAGAGTCATTTTTAACTTCCAAATAAAAAGCAATTTTGAGAAATGTTCCATAAATTTTTGACGACTACCATATGAATTCCTATATATAAACTTATTTATCTTTTCGCCATTGAAAACACAGAAATGATTAAATTTCATGCCGTCCGTCCATTCGAGTGAACCGAAAAGAGGCAAAAATAATAATAATAATAAAAAAATTGTTTACGCCGAATTGGTCTGTTTTTCTCATCATCTGAACACGTTTCGCTGTTGATTCTATAAAAAAAAATCTTGCATCTATAATAAAAGAGAGAGGAAAAAAAAAACTATATTGTATATAAATTTAAAAGTCTTATAAGCTTCATTAATAACCACAACGTGTGTCTCCTTTTCTTTCATTTCTTTTCCTATAGAACAATTCATACACAAATACACAAAATAAAAAATAAAAGAATTAAAGAATAAAAAAAAAACACATAAAGATTGTCAAGCCAAATGCATACCGATATGGATTCAATAGTGGATTGTTACGATGTTGAATATGAGCACAATAATGTAAGTAAAAAACACATAATAATGCCAATGATCAAGACAGAAAAAAATAAAAAAAAAGTATAAAAAGTTTGAGAAAGAGAGGCACAGACTAGATTGCGTTAGATAGAAACACGTGACATTGCCAATTAAAGAAACTTAAAACCGAATTCAAATCACTCTGATTGACGTTATTGAAGCGACCCAACGAACGAGCGTTGCTTGTACACTCAATATTATAAATATGGCAATGGCAACAATCAAGCTATTTAGCATCATACTGTGCAGTTTACATTATTTTTTACATTTGCATTTTATCGACTTGTTCAGTAAAACGTATTTAGAAACCGTAAAAGTGAATTCAACAACATTTATTGTTTAAAATAAATCTTTGTGTATTTTAAAAATTGCATCACTTCGGAACACGGCCTGATGTTAATTTCCAGGCTATTTTATTACTTTTTCATGCACTTTTAATTTGCATCATAATAGTAAAGACACTGAATTGTGTTGGTACAAGCCCTTTTTTTCTTTAAACAATGAGTTACATGCACAATTGTGGCCATTTCGTCTACAACATCATCATCATCATCTCACTATAATAAAAATTGTAATTAGTCATAACAAAGAAATTATGGCATTTAATTTATTTCTGAATCCTTGAAAGCTGTCCGCAGCTTTTTTAGGTCCCAGACGTGCTGAGTAATTGTATAGTAAATAAATGAATTAAGCAAGTAAACAAATTCGTCACAATCAGTTCCATTATCAATAAAAAAATAAATTAAAATTAAGGTTGATAGGGTTTTGAGGGTGTGCGAGAACATTCTATCGTTAATGACACATCGAGGAAATTTAATTAAGCTCTGCCACTAGCTTGTCTAAGCTACTATGTTTACTAAGTTATAAATATTAAAGTTCAATAATACAATAACAATCATATTGATTAATTTTATTTCAATAAATGAAATCTTCAAAACAACAAGTTTACTTAAAAGGATTTCTTTTTAAAGATTTTTCAATATTAATCGTGTGACGTGCTGTTTTTGTACTTTAATATAAAAATCTTCGATCGTCATTATTTCAAGATATTTTTTGCTTCAGAAAATGATAATAAAAATCCTCTCTTCTCCTACACAATTCTAGTGTATATTCAAAAACAATATTCCTATGACATTAAGTATATGAAATGTTTTATTGATGCTCAAAATCGGATCCATTTAAACTTGTAAACATGTTTATAAATTTACTCAAAAAATTAAAATCAAAATTTAAATCAAAATCTTAAACTTTTAGAAATCCTCGCAAAATTGCAAAAAAAGAATTTCTTGAACTTAATGAGTACGAGGGAAACGAGTATGAAGGACAATTGAATGAAACAGACATTCTGACGAGCTTGCAAAAACATCTCGTTTGCATGCCAATAACTTTATTACATTATATATCCTAGGATTTATTGTGTTTTATCGTTGCCTGCTCTCGACTCGGAAGAGTAAATATTATTATAGAATTTTATTCGCAATATGGCTACTCAATCATCTGATCAGCGATAAAAAAAATAGGGAGAAACTAAGACAGTAAAAATGCTATTGTGAGTGATAATAGTGAGAAAAAATAGCTTTCCACTAGTTTTATATTGAACGATTAATGTAAGATTAAATAGGCATTGCATCATTCAAAGTAAAGACAATGAGCAATAGTTTTCACATTATTTCTTCTTTCTTCTACATCAACTGCACAGTCAGACTGTATGAACACACTTCACTAATGATTATTCATAGATAAAGAATTGAGGATGACAAATCCTCAATCGATTACATTTGAGTAAATAAAGGAACGATTTCAAGATTGTTGCCAATAAAATGAACTGAATTTCGATAACGTGGATATAGATTGAGCTAGACAATGTAATAAAGTAGAGAAATCGATAATGTTAGTTGATGTCTTTAATAGCATTTGCACCATTTATGTATAGCGGTAAAATTTTCTTTTTTATATTCACACCGTTTTCACGTGTGAATCTATTGGTTTTGTTCAGAATGAAAAATCAGTTTTTTGAATTTTGTGAGAATATGGAGCAAGATAGCTTAAATGTTTAGGGATGAAAAGTTTGTGCCTTGAATTTCACATCTTTTGCAAAAAACAGATTTCAAATTGGTTGGGGCATTGCTGAGAAAATCGCAAAATATGCTTTCTGTAAGCAAGCAAACAAGCAAACAAGCAAGTAAATCAGCAAGAAATCTCAATAACGAGACATTGTAGAGACTTCTAGTTTTTTACATTTGATCCGTGCTGCTCTATAGAAGAGCTGTATTGTTTTTAAGGCAAGGTAGGAACAGCCGTTGCTTCAGAAAAAGCAAAAAACTTTCCTTTCTTACGAATTTTTCAAATTAAAAGTTCACTGTGATTTTTTTTTAAATTAAACTTTGGATGAAAAAAAATTTTTTGAGCAAAGAACCAAGAAAGAAATACATTTTCAATTTTGGACTAGGGGCGACCCTAGTCAAAGTCAATTTTGTCACTTTGATTTTAAGAATTTTGATGGTATGGTGTGAATATATCCGTATTGGGTTTCTACCCGATACACTAGTTTTCATTTGATTTCGCTGTGCTGCAAATGCACTCACATTTTCACTTTGACTTGCTTTGCATGACTTATAAATGAGTGACGAGTTTTATCGACTTTTATGACTTAATTATTTAAATTTGAATTAATCGAGCGACTGACTATGTTCTTCATACATACTTATCAAATCATAAATCATGCTACTGGATCTTGCCAGAATTAGGAATTACAAAATATTTTTAAAAAGAAAATTTCGAGGAAAAAAGAAAACAGCAGTTGAACATATCTACGAATGTGAACCACGAGCATTGAAAATGTTTAAATCGAAAAATTATGATGATGAAATAATCAACTGTATTAAATATTTACGGATAGTTTTGAAAGCAAACATAACATGCATTTCATTTTTTTTCTCCACTTTTGAAACAACAAATTGTACATTATTCGGCCGATGAACTTCTCGAGTATATACATTTTTTTTTTCAATATTCAACATGTCTATTTTTATTTTTCCTTTGCAGTTTATTTGAAATAAAAAAGTTTTCTTAAAACCGAGTGAATACATAAAAAAAAATCATTTGACATTTTAATGATGACACAAAAGTGTGTAATTTGCAATGAAGTCTAGTGTGCAATTGTGCACGTATTGTGCAAAAATTATAATGAGTTAAAGCTTTCTAACATAATGATAGTCTCGAATAGTAGAAGAATCTAGGAGCTGATAAGAAGAATAATTACAAAATCGAGGTTTATAGCCACTTAAACAGCAAATTCATTTCATTTATTGACGACGACTTTTATTTATTTTTTTTTAACAAAGGAACTTTATCACTTGCAATTAAATGTTTGTGCTTGTTGGGTCATGATACATCTATAAATTTCCTGTTAAATGAACAAAGAGCATGCAGTTGCGTGTATTCTAATGCTATTTTCATTTCGAATCATGAAGCAAAAATAAAGATGATGATGATGATGAGACATCGTGGCTAGTTGAAATGCATTTGCTCGCTTGTTCAGGTTCAATAAGAAAAAGAAAACAAGAAAAATGAGAACAGAATTGCACGAGAAAATCAGTTCGAGGTGTACCGATTTTAGATGATACTATTTTTGTCATACTATGCATCTGGTGATGCTCGATGAAAAATGCACAAACAACAGAAATGTATATTTGAACAAATGGTGCAGGTATTTAAAGTATATTTACACAGATTTTTTTTTCTGTTGGCATGAAAGCAAATTCCTTTAAATGCGAATCACATTATTTTTTCGCGCTCTTTTTTCTTAGCTTATTCCTCTAAGCAAACAATTAATCATTTGTCTTTAAAAGTGTTTTTCTTACATGCATTGCATCATTACTGCAAATGAGAAGAGGAGAAATGAGTTGAAGTATTTCTTTTCATGTAGAATGAAAATATTAATTATGTGAATTAAAAATACCTATTGCTCTGAATAATTTATGAATGGTGATTAGCTTGCTGCATCTGTTAAAGTAGCCTTCTTTTTTATGTTGTTTGGATCAATAAGATTGACTAAAACTGATCTTTAAACTGTATATTATCAATTCCTAGATTCGCAAACAGCTTGCACTCTTGAAACTCAATTTTATCATCACAAAACCTGAAAAAAATCTTTGCCAAACTTGTTAAAAATATTGTTGATTGCTACTTGAGCTGCTATCTGATGAAAAGTGTATAATCAGTGAAGCACTTTGGTTCGCAAGTTGCTCAGAGACAATAACGTAACAGCTTGTTCCACTCACTTGACTGAAAAACAATTCAAAAGAATTGAAAACAAATCATAGGTTTTCATCTTGTTATCTTATCTTATGTCAGTGACATTTGTAATCTAAATTGTTAGTTTACTTAATTGCTTCTAAGTGATAGTTCTATTATGAAACTACATCGATGTTTAAAAATAATCTTACTGATAATACCATGAAAAGCCAATTAACAAAGAGTTGGTAATCATTACAAAAACAAATATGAGACCGCACAGTCTAGTCGTATCAATTCCTTCAATTATTATATATTTTCGCACCACTACGATTGTCACAATAAATTTGATCAGTCATACACAACATAATGTAACCCAATTCATTTTGATAGTTTGTACACCGACAGACACACAGATGATGCAAATAGTATATTCACTTCCCAGACAACAGATATGATTACTACTTTATATAAACTAGAATAATAATAAAACAGAATTGGACGGAGGTCAATGTTTTTATCAGAAATTCAATTCCAAATGTATATGTATACATTGATGGTTTGATGACTTTAATCAACTCTAATCAAAATGTTATTTTTCAGTTCAACTCAATTGCTATTTCAATTATCAAATAAATGTATTTATTGCCTGTATATAAATTTATTTTTATATAAAAAGGCAGGCACTGAAAAGAGAAATAACAATCAGCATGATGATTTAAACTTACTTTACGTAATCGTTGTTATCTAATAATTTAAATCATAATTATCAATAGAATAATAATTCGATAATCAGTTACGCTAATTAAATAATATGAGTATTCAATTCCTTTGATCAAATATGTATCTATCTCGTCATGAATATCGTAAGACGGAATTATTCTAGAGAATTTCTCTTCTCAATTTTACACAAAAATATCTTAATGAAGGCACCTACGCATCGCGGCTGATGTGCGAGCGTCACAGATAATAGCAACGAATATTTCTTTTTTAATATCAAAGAGCAAACAAGAAGGAGAAATTAGCCAGAGTTCATTGATTTCTTCATTATCAAAATAATATATATGTATATTTTTTTTTATCTAACTGCCAGTGACTGATAAAAGTGGCATGTTTTTAGTCTGTGTGTATGATGTCGTTCGAGTATCTAATAATTAAGCGACGTGTGTTGACATAAACAATAAAAAAGTATTTTTCACAGCTCTATACTTGCAAAAAAAGAAAAAAAAAACATGCGTGATGGCTAAAATTATCGCCTCGTATGCGATTTTTGTAGCCATTTCTCTTCTTATTGTGTGCACAGTTTATACTTGAAATTGCTGTAAACAGCTGTGTTTCCAAGTGACTAAGTATTAAACGTCAGTAATATTGAAAATTGCCTTAATCGCTTTACTTAATTTCTCTATATAACTCGTGTCATTTGAAACGCGAGACTTTCGATATTTTAATGCTATTGTCAGAATATAGTCGAGAACTATAAATTACTTCGAGTAGGCACTTTAAAAAGTCTATTACTTTCCATAATAATAACTATTTTTCTTCTTTTTCTCTTTGACATGTGCGTGTGAAAATTCGCTCATATAATCACATAGAGATAAATTTGTTTGAAAGCTGTAAACAGCTTTATCAATATTATTTTTTTAAGCTATGAAAGCACTGTTTCTGATTTTGAAATTTTACTTTTTTTTGCAACGGTTATAAATATTAAATCAATAGAAATAATGTCAAATATTTTGATGAAATTATTATTTAACATTTAAACTGATTTATACAATGGAAAAGTATACAAAATCTCATATTGCACCAAAATCGCAGATGATTTCAAAAAAAAAGAGTATCAAATCCATTACTCAAATAAACTAGTTTTATGTATGAATAACAAACTCAGCCACAAAATGTTTCGATCACCACACACGAAGAATTAGATCATAGCACATAAACTAGATGCCAATTTAATATATTCTACAAAATTATTGGTCATGATAAGATAAACAATTTATTTTTATCTGCGATGTCGCGAGCGAAATTGGGTCATGTGAATAGAGTATAGAGTAACAAGTCAGACCTTTTTGACTAGTCATTTAAAATTTTAATTTTTATCATTTACTTGTGTACAAGTATTTTGACATTGATCATGTTCGTAAAACGTGAACATTGTGTGACTACTGTATTGATTCTTTCACTTTAAACCGTGATGCGAAAGAAACTTAAAAGTACAATCGAGTATGTTTATGTATTGTCATAAAAAAGATGGAAATTAACTAGAAACAATTCACGCATAAAGGAACTAAAGATCGCGATACTTTAAAGCCGGAAAAACATTGTGCTTTATTGCTTGTATTAAAATTAAATGAAGATTTATTGTTAAACTAAGATAGAAGGAAGAGCGTAAACGAAAATGATAGTGGAGTAGTCTATATTTAATCTAATTAATTTTTAATGTCATTTATTACGATGAAAATCCGGCACTGCTATAAAGTCTACTATTAAGAATATATATATGCCCATCAAACTGGAACGAAATTGTTAATTGACTTAATACCTTCTATTGTTTGTTTCCATGCCCATTCATGTGTGAGATAAAAATAGAAATGCTCTATATGATGATCAATTGTAAACAATAGGGTACGAGAGAATCTCTTAAAAGCTTACTTACTTAAAAACATAATTTTTTGCGCATTTAACTCAATTTATTTTATTTGCGTCAATTAAGAGCTTCTTGGAGCAAGATTTGGCTGGAAGTTCCTAACTTGTCAATTAAACTTGATGTAATTTTAAGAAAAAATAAATTTAGAGTCTGTTGGCAATAGAAGAATAAACGCATAAATAAGCGAGTCGCATAATTCTCACAATAAAGTTTACACATTTACTCTATAATATAGCAACGATAGTGGCTTTAGAACTATATTAATAAATTAATGTAATTTACATAAATTTATTTACCTAATTCTTTATTTCTGAATCACAAAAGATGAGATTCTTTGCTATGAAAAATAACATTATCCATGAATAATGTGAGGGAAGGTTTTGTGAAGGAATAAAGCTTTAAAATTATCAATTTATTACAAGTTAGTAGCGAGAATAATTAAAATGCTGTATTCATTCAATTAATCTTTAATAATAATCTTAATGAGATAGCATTCATCATGGATTAGAATGATTTACGGTGTAATGCTCGCATTTGATGGAACAGAAACCAAAAATGAATCAAATTTGAATGAAAAGACTCTTAATTAGTGACTTATTATACTATGATTCTTGGATAAACAATCATTAGCTTGAATGAATCTCATCATTTAAAATGGCTCGGTGCCTGTGGCATTGAAAATTTGACGCTAATTAATAACTTCTTTTGTCTTTTCTTTCTTTCCAGTTTGGCTACAATAACAAACAGTGGATAATGGATAATGTAGATGTATATGATCATGTAACAAAAGTCATTCGATATCATCCGAAATATTTTGAGCATTACATTAAGACACATCGGTATTTGATGTATGATGATGGTCCATTGCCATTTACAACACGTCACTATTTAGCAATAATTGCAGCAGCACGTAATAAATGCAATTATTTGGTGAATTTACATGAGAAGGAATTCTTGGCAGAAGGTGGTGATACAAAATGGCTAAATGGACTTGAATTCATTCCACAGAAACTTCGTGCCATATATGATATTAATAAGATATTGGCACATCGTCCATGGCTATTGACCAAAGAACATATTGAGCGTCTTACAAAAGGAACGAATAGTTGGTCATTAGCAGAAGTTGTCCATGCAATCGTTATCCTGTCTCATTTTCATTCACTCTCATCTTTCGTATTCTCATGTGGTCTCAATCAGGAATTGGATGCTAGTCTTAAAAATGAACCGGAATCACCGACTGTATCAGAACCGGAGCCCGTAATTAAGCCAAGTACAACACCACCATTTATTCAACGCTTAAAGCTTGAACAGCAACGAATGCATCAAATGATGAAGGAACAAGAGGAAAATAAGAAAATTTTGCAACAAAGCAACAGTCAAGTGTTGATGAATGGAGTAAATAGTGATAATATTGAAATGCTCATGAAGCGCATGCAAGATTTGTCAGACAAGAAGAAGGAATGCAGCGAAACAGAACTGAGTAATCGCTTTAAAAATGTTGAACTTCAGGTATGTCCAAAAGACAATTCACCTACAAGTCCTCAATTAATTTACATACATTTCTCTTTGTCAAAACAGGCAGCACAATTGACATCACCTGCAGATGTAGTAATTGTAAATATTTCTCCATCCATCAGTCATTACGTTGACGATCCAAATTATGCATATCAAGATTTTGCGAGACGTGGAGCTGAGAATATTCCACATACGTTTCGCATTCAAGACTATTCATGGGATGATCATGGATACTCACTTGTTAATCGTCTCTATAATGATGTTGGCTTCTTATTAGATGACAAATTTCGTGTTGCATATAATTTAACTTACAAGACACTTGCTGGTCGCCAGAATGTCGACACATCTAAATTTCGTCGTGCAATATGGAATTATATTCAATGTATCTTTGGAATTAGGCACGATGACTATGACTATGGTGAAGTCAATAAACTCTTGGACCGTCCTTTAAAGACATTCATCAAAACAGCTTGTTGCTTTCCCGATCGCATTACAAAGCAAGATTATGATAGTATCCTCGTTGAATTGCTCGACAGCGAAAAGGTACATGTTAATTTAATGATTCTGGAAGCGAAAAATCAGGCGATGTTGCTTTATGCACTTCGCGAACTCAATAGATAATGCCAAAATCACCGTGAATGTACAATTTTGTATAACAATTATTTTTATTAAATTTATCATTATTATTATTGATTAATTAAAATATATTATTATTATTATTATATCCGTAACAAATTTAATGTCAAATAACTTTTTGTTTGTTCATGATGATATGAATCAAAACAAAAAACCAACATGTGATAATCAAAATGGATAAAAAAATTTTTATATAAGTTTTAAAGAAAGAATGAAAGCAAGTAAAAGAAGAAAGATCCTCTCAATACAAAACGTTAAATTAAAAATCATTTTTGTCTCTTTTCTGAGTTTAATTATTTTTCTTCCAAAGGAACTAAGTTTTAAATTTTTGTTCTCATTTGCAAATGAAAGATACACAACGAAGAGATGTAAACAGTTTAATAAAATGATTGATAATATACAAGAAATACATGAAATGCAATGTCTTTTTCCTTTATCTTTATCATGTCCATAAACATTTATTTACAGCATTATGTTGTCATTTACTTCGAAGATATATCGTTCTACTCGTTTTTTTGCTTCTGACTGCATTGTACTTTAGATGTTCATTCTGTGGGGAGTGAAAACATAGGCAGTTCTCTTCAAATCGTTATTATTTATTGATACTGGATAAGCATTTTATTAGAATCCAGTTTTTCTGTTTAGATGGTTCTGGATCTTAGCAATAATATCATGATGTGGACAATATGGTTTTATGTTCTGTCATTTATAAGCTTCATCTTTGTTATGGATGAATAGTCGAACATCTTTATTACTTTACAAAAATGCGTCGCAGTCTTCAAACATACTTAACATCCCTTCCTAAAATATTCCTTATGCTGATTTTGACGATGTAAGAAATTTCTTCGCATTATTCTTTTATTTTTATTATTATCATCAACAGTATTATTATGTCACTTCCTCGTTTTTTATTTTAATATTTTATAAAAGAAGGGAAGTGAGTGTGCATAAAAGTAAACACAGTGAAGGAATGTACATAGAGTATTAGGAGAAGTAAACAAATTATGTAACAAGAAATAGTACTGACCTAACGCAAGTACACAACATCATCGTATACATGAGATTATTTATGAATAGGAAGCGTATATAAAAAAGGGAAAGTAGCATTTTTTTGGGTGAAGACGATAGAAGAAGCAAGGAGATCTATTCAGCGTACCCTTCAACATTTGTTTACGAGCATGCGCGAATGAAAACGAGAATTTCGTGTACATTTTCGCTGCTGGCATCTCCGAAAAAAAGCCAAAACAACAGAAAGAAGGAAACTATATTGACAAGCAATAAAAGAATTGCGTATCATTTTTTCTACTGTGGTGTGACTCTATGTTTAGTAGAATTTAAAGCATAAAGCAATCAACAGCGTGGATAGAAAAGAAGCAGAAAATTTAATAAATTTAATCTTCTATTTTCGATCAAACAAAGTTTTTTTGGAACGAGAAGTAAACAAGAAGTTTGTGAAGGCACTTTGTGATAAGGAATTTGAGAGATATAATGTATAAAGTTTAAGAAATTTATGACAACAGTTGAAACTTTTGAGTAGCGTGCCTTTCTGTTTTTTTTTCAAGTGTTTCTTTGTACAAAAGGGTTTGCAGACCTTGTGATTGAACCTTAAGTGATATTCATAGATTTTTTTTAAGAATAATAACAACGATTAGAAAATACTTAATTATGTCTAATACAAGCAACGATGTTCACTCTAAGAATAACAATTATGTGTCAAATATGGGTTAATGATTATTTACTACGCAGTAATAGTGTGCGTCGCTCCATATGATTCAATATTCTCTTCACAACAATCTTTTCTATACAACACAGAGTCGGTAGTTTCTTCTTATTACTCATTCCTTCGGCTGTTTACTCATTCTTGATAACATACACTGAAAAAAAAAAATTGTATGTATGAAAAAAATGAGGAAAGAAAAAAAAATTTGCGACTCTCAGCAAAGTTTCAAACAAAAATATCATTTCTAATAGAACAACAAGTCAGTTTGTGCTCAACTGTTGATTAATACAGAGTTATAGAGTCGAGAAAGAAACAGTTCGGAAGTTATTGTGGATAAGAACATTGAAGTGTAAAGTAATAACAAGCGAAGGTTTCTTATAAAAAATTGAGGAAATAAAATGTGAATAAACATAGAACAGATTTATTTTTTTATGAACGATTAAGTTTCAGAATAATTAAACTTATATATACAAAAAAAAATATTTAACACGAAAAGTGTGAATTATAGAACTTCTTGAAAGAAACTAAGAAGAACTTAATTTTTGTTAGGTAAGGTCTAATCAAAACTCAAAAATTAAATTTATTATTTATTATTTTTGACAAAGTCGAAAATAAAATAATGCAAATTATCTCATTAAATTTCAATGTGAGTCTCGTCTTACGACCATAGTAACAAGATTTCACATTTATGAGTTCCCGATTGCCGGTTGTCGGATGATTTTTTTTTTGCTGTTTTTTTGTGTGTTTTTCGCATTCACAAATGTATTAGACTGGTGCAATTAAATATGCAACTTATTTTTTTTTATGAGTGTCATTTAGAGTGCTTATTAGCATGCATTTAAAATTTAAAAAAATTTTTTCTCAATAAAATTGTCAAGTAGGTGGGTGTGTTTTTAGAATATTCTGGATATACGTTTGTTTACGAAATTATCTTTCTGGAATTATGTAGATTTGCATATCAGTTACATCTTGTTGACAAAATCTTTATTAAAATTTTTCAGGTTTAAAATGTTTTTTTTTCTTTAACTTTATCGTTTTTTGTGAATTATTGAATTTTTTCGCTAAAATTTGAAACTTTTCTTTTGTCAATTAGGGTAAACAATGTTGAAATTTAATGGCTGATTATGAAAATCTGATTATAAGCTTAAAAGATCACAATTTGTGGGAGTTTTCATTTTACATTATGTTATGAAAGATGTGCTGCTTATGGGAAGAGAATTTTGACATTTTTGTTCATTTGACATTTTTGGTCAAATGTTGAAATTTGTGCGGAAAATTTTAAAATTTGTGGGAAAAATGTTGAAATTTGTGCACTTTTTTGATAGCAAACTTTGACATAATTTCAATTCTCAATTTTTTGGAACTTAAATCGCGATTTGTGGCAAGAAAAATATCTGAATCAAATTAAAACCAAATAAGAACTACTCAGCTGACTGTTTTTAATTTATTTCTTAAGATGCATGCATCATACAAGATTCAACTTAATCAATGTTGACTGAGCTTATTAAACAGTAAAATATTCATAAAGCAAGAACGTCCTGCAAGTTTTTAAATTTCATACGTGTATAGATTAAGATTTAAAATAAAACAATACCTTAAAAATTTGGTAAAATTATGTTTTAACTTTGAGGAGTTCCAATCATGTTATTTCTCATTTGTACTTCTAAAATCATGAATTTCATATATAAATAATATTTATTGTTGACAAAATGTGTCATTGCTTGCTACGATGAAAAATGCACAAACCTTAATATTTGTCAAAATATTTTACACAAATTTCAACATTTAAAAACCTGTGATTATAAAATCAATTATTAGAGCACTTTCAATGGCGTTTTATGACCAGAAACATTTTTAAACGATTAAACAATATTGAAATTCGATATTTCATCACTTTAATGCTAATTAGAAGCACTTTTTATGTCCAAAAAATTCAAAAGATAAAAATTTAAATTTTGTATGGGGTTTTGACTTTTTCAAATTTAGAGCTGCCTAAGGTTTCAAGACCATCTTAAATGAGGTAGAAACATTTGGACATCTATTTTACATAGAACTGCATACAAATGTTCACTATAAATGGCTTATTAATGATGATTTGCATTTAATTTGAGCGCACAAATTTCAACATGGTTTACCCTATTAAGTTTCTGTCAAATTTTAAAATTTTTGTTAAATTTTGAGGTTTAATTGAAATTTTGAACATTTTTAACAAAGTTCAACTTTTTTCAAAATTCAAGATTTTTTTCGACAAATTCGCGATTTCTTAATTTTTAAAGCTTAGCATAAAATGTCACTTTTTCTAATAAATTATAAGCTTCAGCAATATTTTTTCTATCCAAAGAGCATCTTTAATAAAGAAGGAAATTTCTTTTATCATAATTCATGCATTAATAAAAAGCCATGCCAACATAATTATAACAAGCTTGAACCCCTTTCTATCCTCTCATTATTTTAAATGACTTCATCATGTTCCTTTGTTGTTTCCAAGAACGAAAGAAAGAAAAAAAAGATTGTGCTATGGGATGATTGATTAAGTAAAAAGCAGATTTGTTGAACTTTTTTTATGACGCCAATCCCCATCGTCATTGATAATCCTTGTTATTTTGCTTTAAACACATAATAAAACACACAAAAAAAAAGTTGTTTGCAGAATGTGATAAAGTCTCTTGTATATGATAATGATAATGAGATGTTTACCTCCTTAAAAAATTTATTTCATGCATGTTGTTCACAACCAACAGTAATGAAGTATTCAAAAACAGCAATATCCTAAAAAATATATATATATATATATAAATGTACTCTTGTCACTGAGTGAATGACTCACATTGTCATGAAAGGAAATAAAAAAAAAACTGGTTTAGGGTTGCTGAGGTATAAAACAAACGAGTGTAAAGAAAGTGAAATTTCCATGCCATTTCTAAATATCTCCATTTCGTTGCTTCGTATAATTTATTAAGTACATTTAAACTTCAACCACTTCCATTAAAATCATGAGATTGCTGCTATAGAAATTAATGTCATCGCAGCATAAGATTGTATTTATGTATATTAAGAGGGTTTTTATGCTCCATTGTTTCATTGTCACTGCATGGCAACCAACAATATGTGACATACTTTTTTTTTCGTACCCATACCCTTAAATAGAAAAGACATTACTGTAAGTGGCGAAAAATGGTCTTCATGTTAATGATCTGATTGTTTAAGTCTAACAAAAAGCATAAAGTATGAAAAGAAGTCACAAATACTGGTGGCATAATCGAATCGATTCTGTCGCATTGATATTTTCTGGTCGTGCGAGTTCATTGAATTCCAATTTATGCGAAAAACGAAAACAAAATGTATATTCTGATGTTTCCGCGTGTGGAGGCTTATAGCGTATTTTTGCTAGATTAATCTGTAAACATATTGAGCCAATTAAAATTTCATTTACCAAAATAATGTCAACAAATGCTTCACAACAGTCCATTAAGACACTTATAGCCTAATTAATAATCTATCATGATATTTTAATAATCCAGACAAAATGACATGAACTTTGAAGTGCCTGCTAAAGTTGAATAATTGAAATTTGTATTCCATAAGTCTTTCCTCGTGCATTTATATTCATCTACATAATAGAAAATTTCAATAAATTTAAATTTTTCATTTCTTTTTTTACAGCTTTCTAATTTTAAAGATTGAAAGACAACGATAGAAGAAAAAAAAAACGGCAGTAAATTACGAGATGGAGATAGAGTACTTTCCAGAACTTGAAATGGGGCAGATTAATCACGATGTAAGTCATAAATTTTGCACTATCAATGTATACAAAAGATTAAAATGATGTAATAATTTTCAAAACGAGATCAAATAACAACGAAGCACTTGAACATTTATTTTCATCCGCTTACAAGTCGTAGAACATTTCTAAAAATATGGTGTCATTGCTCATAATAATTTCCATCGAGTCTCACTTTATTTTTGAAATATTTCATTACTTTATGTAGGAAACACTTGAGAAAATAAAATAATAAATTTTTATCTCATTTTTCTGTTAGAAACAAAAGCTATCAACAAAATATTATTGTCACTTTGTTTGCCCATTCCATTGCTGAAATTTTCATATTATTATTATTATTATCGGAAAAAGGTTGGGATGAGAATAGGCTTTTGGCAAATTTCAAATTGTCATTAGCAGATGGTTTTTATGTCGTCTATAAATAGCCACATTCTTTCATTAGTTGCATAGAACTGGATGTTGAAAATTTTTCAAATTTGACTCTTTTGGTTTTCAAAAGCTCGTAATTTTCTGGTTTTATGTCCCAAATATTATATTCATCAAAATAGATTCAAAATTTTAAATACTTGAACCATCAGACTTAAAGTATTATTTATGGGATCTGTTTCGAAAGATAATAAAAAGACGCTTTATCATGATCACACTTTAAATGCATGTTCATTGAAAGTAAATTTATAATAATTCGGTTAAAAATTGTCTTTAATGATTCGACAAAAAAAAGTTTTTTTTTGTTTGTTCAAAGCAACACGTTAGGAATTTTGTTTCATGTTTGTCGAATGTCTGTAAACAATATTGAGCACATATGTCATGTATTTCATTAAACTAATAAAAATTAGACTAGAACTGATAGAGAACTCATACTGAGGAACTATATATTTTCAAAAATAAGGAACATAGAATCAGATGAGAATGTGAAGAAGTCAAGCGATAAAAAAAGAAAGAAAAGCAGATTTCTTTATATCGTGATGCACTTATTTAAACTAAAATCTTTTCTTCATTCTTATTTTTTTGTTTCACTCTCTTGTTTTTTTTTTACTTTTTTGTCATTTGAGATCGACTCGTTGGTGCGTGAACAATTTTTTAATTTGGCTGTGAAAGTTCCTTTATTCTATCTTTTAATTATAGTGTAAGTGAAAAATAATTGTCATTAAAATGATATCAAAAACTTGATTTCATGATGTGACATAATCTGAGTGAAATGAGTCATATGTACTGATAATTTGAAAGTATTCTGTTGCTAGTTCTCAAATTATTTTGACTTAATTTATTGACGCGTTTTGTAAATTTTCATTTGAGCCATCTGAGAATGAGAATCACGATTTAATTTAAAAATCGCGAGTAATTTAAGATGTCTTATGGTGTCACACGAAAAAGAAGAAATGAAGAGAGTTTATAAGCACGTAAAAGTTCGTAGAAAAATATATTCATAAGAAAAATTTAATTTCTCGAGGAAGATGCTCTTATTTATACTTTTGGCGTCTTAAGAATTATCTACATTTTCCGTGAAAAACTATTTGATGTTTTCATCTTCAGTTGAAAGATTTAATTTCGGAAAATATTTTTTGAGAACTGTGAAAATATTGAATTTTGTGTTTATAGAAATTAATGTAGGCGATAGAAATTCAGAGGAAAGAAGTTTGAGTCAGATTTTTAATCAAGAATACACTTTAATTACTTTAATAGACATAAATTCACGTGAATTGACAATTGACCTCCTTTATCTGTCACATCTAGCCTAGATTTACCACAATAAAAAATTAGCACATCTGTATAAGTTCAAGAGTCATACTAAGTATGCGCTTATAACATCTGTCCACAAAAATTTTACAACTTTTGAAATAATTTTTAATCGTACATAAAAAACGATGTAAGGAGCAATGAACTAAGTGAAAAAAAAATTAAGATTCGGTTAATCATTCATGACTCGAAAAATACATTTTGTCTGTGATGAGGGCAGACGAATAAATAAATAAGAATGAAGCGAATTTTTTTTATCACTTTTATAAAGCTACGGCTATCAGTAGTCATGCAAATAATGGACCGTAGAATGGGAACGAGATTAATCTTAAATCATTAGAATGAACTTAGAATATGTTATGAGTAATCATGTTCCCATGGAGATAAGAATTTTGTGGTTAATTAAATTATTTTTCAAAAAAATAATAATCTGTGACACTCGACAAAAACCAGCTGTAAAACTATGTTGATAGTTGAAAATTGCATATAATGTAGCACAAATTAGTAGAAAATCTCTACGGAAATAGAATGGAAATAATAATTAATCCACATTTAATTACAGGCAAACTATGATTCATATCTACTTATTTTGTAATGCTAATAGGAAGAAGAGTTTGTATTTGAATTTTAAAGTAAAGCTCGCTGTCTATGACAGTATTTAAATATAGAAATGGATTTGTTGACTTTAATTATTTCATAGTCATTAATAATCATTAGGGGCCGTTCACTTATTACGTTCGCATTTTAGGAGGGAGGGGGGGTTTTAAAAATTGTAACAAAATGTAACATAGAGGGGGGGGGGGGGTGTCAAGAAGTACGTCTTTTAAAAAAATTTGATTTATGAAAAATTATCAAAATAAAATAAATTATGAACGTTCAGGGGGGGTTTGTAAGTTGTAACATATTGTAACAAGGGGGGAGGGGGGGGGGGGGTGAAAAAAGTCGTTTTTTTGCGTAACATAATAAGTGAACGGCCCCATACTGGAACTTTTCTGAATAATTCTAAGCTCAAAGTCTCCTGTTATTTGAATTAAATTCTTTTGTAAAGCTCATTTATTATCATTCTGGTGACACATTATGTTCACAATTGATTCCCATTCCATTTCCTTACAATGTACAAAATTTTAAGTATTGACTTTTGAAATATAATAATGCTTATCTGTAATTAGTCTTGTTTGAAAAACTTTAATCAATATTAGCTCAATCCACAGTCAATCTTTCACATGGAATAGTATTGATTACAGTCGGGAATTTATTGTAGATAGCATAAATCTATAGCCGTGATTGACAGTGATTTAATGCTAACTTGCACTTAATATGTTTATACAACTAACATACTCATACTTCACATCAGAGTCTATAAATAAACGCGTTTATATTTAGACAGTTTAATCAGGAAACATAAAAGGTTTTTTGCCTCTTCTCTCATGTTCTCGTGCTGCTGCCACAATAGAAAAGCCAATAGGAAAATATTTATTAAATGAAAAAATTTCTTATCAAGTCATTATTAAAGCAAGTAATCTAAACATTTGATGAGAACTGTTTTAACTCTACATTTTTTAATGTAGTACAAAGTGCATTGTAATAATTCACAAATAATGTATTAAAGTTCTATTTTGGGCTTTACATCTGTTGAATGCAACTCAAATGGAAAATAATAAATAGAAACAGCTTTAAAATGAAGGTAATCAAGAGAAAAAGCATTCAAGATGAGAATTCTGTTTAAATTACACTATTAATTATCTTCATTATGAGTGCACGAAAATGTGAATAATCCTTTTAGCTACATGCTACATGTTTCGGAAATACAAACTTTTTACATCTCTTTTAATTAACATTTTAAATCATTCTGAGAAATTAATCCAATTTCTTTCTCAACATATCTCATTACAGTGTTTCTTTTCAAATAGCAATCACTGGACTATGGATAATGTAGATGTATATGATCATGTAACAAAAGTCATTCGATATCATCCGAAATATTTTGAGCATTACATTAAGACACATCGGTATTTGATGTATGATGATGGTCCATTGCCATTTACAACACGTCACTATTTAGCAATAATTGCAGCAGCACGCAATAAATGCAATTATTTGGTGAATTTACATGAGAAGGAATTCTTGGCAGAAGGTGGTGATACAAAATGGCTAAATGGACTTGAATTCATTCCACAGAAACTTCGTGCCATATATGATATTAATAAGATATTGGCACATCGTCCATGGCTATTGACCAAAGAACATATTGAGCGTCTTACAAAAGGAACGAATAGTTGGTCATTAGCAGAAGTTGTCCATGCAATCGTTATCCTGTCTCATTTTCATTCACTCTCATCTTTTGTATTCTCATGTGGTCTCAATCAGGAATTGGATGCTAGTCTTAAAAATGAACCGGAATCACCGACTGTATCAGAACCGGAGCCCGAAATTAAGCCAAGTACAACACCACCATTTATTCAACGCTTAAAGCTTGAACAGCAGCGGATGCATCAAATGATGATGCAGCAAGAAGAAAGCAGAAGAATTTTGCAACTAAGTAATAATCAAATGATGATGAATAATGGAGTTAATAGTGATAATATTGAAATTCTCATGAAGGCTATGCAAGATTTATCAGAAAAGAAGAAGGAATGCAGCGAAACAGAACTGAATAATCGCTTTAAAAATGTAGAAATTCAGGTAAGTGTTAAAATGTTGCAGTATAGCCAAAAATACTCATTAATCATTTTTTATTTTTATTTTTTTCATCCACAGACAGCACAATTAATATCTCCAACAAATACAGAAAAAACATTTGAGATACCTCCATCCATCAGCCATTACGTCGACGATCCAAATTATGCATATCAAGATTTTGCGAGACGTGGAGCTGAAAATATACCATTTCGTGTTCAAGACTATTCATGGGATGATCATGGATATTCTATCGTCAATCGTCTCTATAATGATGTTGGCTTCTTATTAGATGACAAATTTCGTGTTGCATATAATTTAACTTACAAGACACTTGCTGGTCGTCAGAATGTCGACACATCTAAGTTTCGACGTGCAATTTGGAACTACATTCAATGTATATATGGAATTAGGCATGATGATTATGATTATGGTGAAATCAACCAGCTTCTTGATCGCTCATTAAAGTCCTTTATTAAAACTGCATGTAGCTTTCCTGAACGCATTAAGAAGCAAGATTATGATACGATTCTTACCGAGTTACTTGATAGTGAGAAAGTACACGTAAACCTTATGATTCTGGAAGCAAAGAACCAGGCAATATTGCTTTATGCATTGAGAGAAATAATGCGGTATATGCTTTGATTAATTAATTGATCTCATTCGAATATGATTGTTTATTTTACATTTTGTCATGTTAACTTATGAGGCTTATATTAACAGTCTCAATTAAATTAGAAATTAACATTTTGATCAAAAACAGAAAACATTTTTCATAAAAATTCGTTTTTTTATTACAAACAAGAAATTAAAGGATGTGAATAAGTAATAAGTGTCTGTAAGTTGAGCTTTTTATAAATATATATTTAAACAAGATGATGAGAAGAATTAATAAGCGTAAAATGTTATATCAATATTTTTTCACATGAGAAAGTTTTTTTTAAATGCTTCGTTGTGATTTATTCGTAATATATAAGTGAAGAAAAGTTGTTCAAATCGATATTTCTTTTTGTTAAATTTTTTTATTGTAAAGCATGAGAAAATAATTGATCAACACGTGCCAAAAGTTGAAAATAAAATTTTGACGATGATTTCATAGCGATTATACACATATTTATTCAGTTTTTTGCTTCTATTTATCGTACGTTTGTTTTTTCAGTATCTTTCTTACAGCATTTTGATGTCATGCCAACGAAAGTAGAAGATTAAGAAGAAGCAAACTTTTTCTATTCGTAAAAACAAAATAGCAAGTTGAAATGATACTGCGGATGCATTAATTGGATTTTCTAAGAAATTTTCGGAATTTGTTTATAGAAGCTTCTTAAGAATTGAATTTTCCTCAAACAAATTGATCAATATTTTCATCAGAAAGTCATTATTTATCCATTAGAATATACTTTGAAATTGCTACCTTTATTATCTACCAAGAAAAGTTAAGTTTAAAGCTCTCCGAACAATCTGCAAAGAGTTTAATCAATACAAAATTCAAACGAGCAGGCAAAATGTAAGATACAGTCAGCATTCGTCTATAGATTCGCGCTAAAATGAATATGAGAAAAAAAATTCGGCTGATGCAACCTTTTGACTACTTGCACATTTGCACGATCAACTTGTGTGAAACGTGAGTACATCAGCAGATCTGAATTCTCAAAAAAAAAGAAAAAATAAAATTAGATTCTTCCGTGAAAGAATTCCTTCTCGAATTGGTCGTGAATTAAGATTGAGAGATCTTGAAACTACACACATGTATGTGTAATTGTACAAAATAATCTGATTACAAATGAGATAGCTATTCAGATCGAACGAGATGCGATGAATAATTGCAATCATGTCCGAATTATTTCGGTAGCCAAGATGTCTCATTAGAAACTCAAACCTTCTTTCGCTTCTATTTAAATATAGCAAGTTTTTCACATTAACGTGGAAGTCATTTAGACTAGGAAATTTTCATTTTATTTTTTTTTTTTCGTAAGTAGGGGATAATAATGATTTTTTTTTGCTGACGCAAAAGCTCGTGTAGCTCGGAGGGAGTAGTTCTGATTAAAAAAGCTTAAGCGAAAACCAACTGAATATTTTACTAGCTTGCAGTCATAATAAATTAGATAAGCTATTTAAATTGTAATGCAAAAATATAATAAAAATTAAAGAAATTACAAATGCAAATTAGCGCTTGAATCATCACCTGCCAGCCTGCCTGTATATAGAACAAGTAGGCAACAAAGTATGTGACTTGATAGAATTACAAAATCAAGCCTTGATTGTTGAATCGATTTGGAGATTTGTGAATTATTTGATTCCAAAGAAAACATTTTAAATGGATTTAAGCTAGTAATGCTACTTAAAATTATTTGTGAATCAAAAAGACATACATATTAAGTGCTCACATTTATTCTAATTTGTTTACTTGAGGCAGCAACTACAAGTCAGTTTGTCCTGTAAAACACTTTTTGATGAATTTAAGAAACGGAACCTCAATTATCTACCACAGAAACAACAGAAATGTCCATTTAGATGGAAATATTCACTTGAAGTCATAAAAATCTATGTTAATAGCTTAGGGAGGATTCCTCTGGGGTACTTTTGTTGCCACATAATTCTTTTCTAAAATATGTACACAGTAGCACTCCTCTATGCTCTACTTTTTCACTCTCACACATTTTGAAGGAAATGTAAATGTTTAATGCCTAGTTAACTCAAATAAAATAAAACAATAATTTAAAATTCTACTTTGAAGTCATTTATGCTTGTTTCATATAATGTATGAATGAGAACATATCAAATACAGGCTGTGAATTAATTTAAAACAAAAAGAAATAAATGCAAAATATAAACAAGGTCGCGAAAAGCAATAAAGAACGAAGGACAGAATTTTTATTTGATTATTATTATTTTGGCTTCTTATTCCTTAATCTTCTTTTCATGGTCGGGAATAAAAATCATGCATGTACGGACGACGAAAAAAATACAAGACATTATTTAGAGAGCTCTTTTGTTATTGTATTTAAAAAAGCTACACAAAAAAATTTGATAATAAAATTATCACAAAAAGTTTGGGCAAAGTCGAGCCAAAGGGGGGGGGTAACATGTCTATAAAAAATTTATTGAACAGCTTTCTTTTATTAATATTACTTCCAGCTTAAAGAAATTTTTCTAAAGGAAGAAAATTCCAGCAAAATAAACTTTTTCTGCATTTCTTCTGAACATGTTACCCCCCTCGAATAAAACAATGTACAAAGAAGTATTCAGCCAAGGAAATTTCAGCAGACGATTTAGTCATATTTTTGCACAATGTCAAAATATTTACTGATTTGATTATAAACTTTCTGATAGTAAAGCCTTTATTATCATTATTACTTGATAAAGAAAGGGTTAGCAACAGTTGGATTATTAGACACTAGAGTGACTTTAAGAGCAAGTTCCTAGAAATTATTTGGTACAATAGATTGCTGATTACATGACTTCTTTTTATTGCATTATTCTCAAAAGTCATAAAAGCTTGTTTCGTCTATAAGAAGAAAAGCTTCTTTGAAAAGATGTTCAACCTGATTGCAAATGAAGTTTAAACGTTAAAGTATTGTTGTCTGAAAGGACATTAATCTCACAATGCATGAAGGTCCTTAGTCTGATTGTAGCTTATTGTTGATAATTATTGCTGATCTAGACATTAAGTTATTTGTTTTGTTGGGTTAATTACTGCAGTTAGTGACTTAAAGTCAATATATTCTCGGATTTAATGTCTTTGTCAGGACGTTTACTTCTGAGTGGAATTCAGACTTGATCTCTGTAAATATTATTCAATTCTAATCAAAAGATTCAATCAGCTGTGCTTTTTTAATTCTATTGCTGCTCATTTTAATCGAGTTATAAAAGAAAGGAGGGAAAATAGACTTTAGCATGAGGTCATGTGCTCCTGTAATTTTTTAATGAGCATCGTTTAAACACAGTTATTTTGGGATAACACAAATTGTTGCCGATCATAAAAGTTTTATTGACAATTTAAATGAAAAGCACATGGGAACAGCAACAGACTGAATGTTTCAACATGCAACAAACTGTGATATGAAAATTGTATTGTTAGAATTAATTGCACTTTAATCACTGTACTTCTAAACTGTGTTAACTTTTTGAGATCATCATTATGAAATCAGATATTGTAGCCATATGGATATTCAATGTATAATATTCTATTACAAATAATATAGAAACCTAAATAAACAAACATATCCGATGTGTGATATCATTTTCATTTATCAAGTCATGAATCATTTCCATTTTCATTCTTATTACTGCTATTATTATTTTCAGTGGAAGGGAATAAAGCGAAGAGAAAAAAATTTCCATTCATTGCTTTTTTTTGCTGTATCCATGTGAATTACACTTAGTAACTGCAAAGTGAATATAATCACAGCTTTTACAAGCCGATCAACTAAATTGACATCAATTATCAAAATATAAGATTGTTGTAAAGTGAAATAATTACTTAAATTACTGAGTCGAGTCGTGTGATTAACACTTAATATAAAGTTCACGTATACATAGACTTAGTAACATGTATGAAACTTTACATCAAAGAAAATTTACAAATGTGCGTAGCTTCACGTGTACCTTAAAGTTTATTCAATCTTTTAAATAAATTGTAAACCGACTGTAATGCATACGTGTGCGATCGGACGGTTGTCATGCAGTAATATAATTTGCTCGACTGAATTTTCACGTCTGGAAGGAGACAGAATGATAATGAATCTTATTTTAGCATTGTTTCTGTTAAAACTAAGGGAAGCGAATCTATGAATGAATTTTAAGTAATTCTAGATTAATTTGCAAATTCTTCGATTTGATATCGATCGTGACTTAGGAATTTGCCTCAGCATCGGCTATTACATCAATACTAAGAATCTTTACTAAGTAAGATACATTAGGTAAGTTAATAGCAGCACTGAAAATAACTACTAAGTCATCTTCACTGGGAAAGCCCATAACATCCCGGAAAAGTTAAAAGTGTCGTTTATTAATTTCCTTACAACAATTTCATTCATGATTTATAATTTGTTGTCTGACAATTAATTATGAAATAAATAACGTCACGAAATGTCTTCTTTACCATTGTGGTTGACGCATGATTTTTTCTAGTATTAATATATCACTTTATACATATCAGAAGGAGAAAGAGGGAAACACGTGCTTTAAAAATAGCTCGGCATTGAGTAAAATGTTAATAAGAAGAGATGAATATCAATTTAGAGTTTTTTGCGGCCTATAAATTCTTTGTCGATGGCGAAATTTCTTGAGGTATTACTTGGAAATTATTAGTAAATGTGAAATCATCGCCATATCACCTTAGAAGTCATATCCAATATTTAAGAGTACGAGCTGACTTGGACAAACTTTCATTTATAATGTAGAAAGACTGCATTTCTGAACAATCTATTTTTTTGAAATAAGCACCAGAACTCGAATTTCTAAAAAGACCATGAAATATTATCAGCATAGCCTTCAAAATTCCAGAGAATATTACCCAATACTGATAATTTGAGGAAAACTGACTCCAAGTCCGAAAATAATAGAAATGCTGACATTGAGCTAGATTAGAGGATTTTTCATTCAATACTGTTCATCGTGAAAATTCCTCCGTACGCAGTAAATCCTTTTTAGGTCAAACTATAGTTATTATTGTATTAATTTCAGAATTTAATTAAAATTTTAAAACCTTTCTATTAAAAACAATGAGATTTTCGTACTGCAATTCATTTTTCAAAACTGACTGAAACAAGTGACATCCCACGTTATTTTACTCATATGTAAGCATGTATACACATTGACCTATCCTAATAAATTTATTTTAAATTTTCGCTGCAGTCTCATCTGTAAAATCATTTCAAAATTTAAGTAGTTGATCGAAAAGTCACACGAAAGAACCTGATAAAATCAATAATGAGGACTTTTATCACCCTAATAAAATGCTGAAATCTACACATTCATGTTTACAATTTTTTTTGATATTTATTTACTTTAAATGGAAACATTAAGTAGCTATATTTTCTGTATAAATGCTCATTCAGGAAGTGAACAAGATAAAAACTATTTTCAAAAATATATTGTGAAATGAATAAAAGCTCTTAAATCTCATTGGCAACAACAATAAGCTTTTATTTTCAA